GATCTTCTGGTCGTCTTCCGAATGCAAGCTCCAATGGTGTTACTCCCCCGTAGGTGACGGTCTGATTCCTGACAGTTGCAGCGGCCTTCACTAGCTGCCTGTATGTCACTTTCTTCAGTGTTGCAGGTGCAGTACCTGCTTTGATGGAACTTAGCATGATCTTGAGTTGTGCCTTCAGGAGTCGAACTGCTGCTTCAGCTCGGTTTGGCCATGGTGTATTCGGTCCCAAGGGTATCGGTGTGATGTCAAGGGACTGATAGAAATGTTCCCATGTTGATCTGCGATAACTGATTTGGGTGGAAGTGGTACTGGTCAAAATAGTTCCTGAGAACAGTAATGTTCTCGACTTCTTGCGTAGTTGTCACTGCCTCTGCAGTGAGCAATGTTGTTGCTCCATCCAGGATGACAAGAACAATCATGTGTTCTCCTGTTCCAAGAGGAACTTGACAGTGATCAATGAATGTCATGTCACCAAAGGTGTCCGCTCGAAGTCCGCTTGTCTTGCTTCGTGATGGTGCATGTTTTGCCGCTTGGCAAACTTCACACTCACTTCGGATCTTGTCAAATAGATCGAATGTTGATTTCGGCAAATGAAGTGCTCGGGTTCTAAATCGAAATTGATCTGTGGTCATGTGATGATGCTGCAGGTGGAGTTTCTTCAACTCTTCGGGATTTGACAATCGCTTGTGGATTCTGCCTAGGGCAAGCGGAAGCGATGTTGGTTCTTCTGAGGATGGTGCGAAAGGATCTGGCTCAATAGTCGACCGGCCCCTCTTGTCGATGATCCTGTCTGCTGCCGATCCTGAACCTGCTTCTTCGTCCTTAAGCGAATTGTCCGAGAAGGTGAAAATGGTCTTACCTATCCACAGGTTAATCATTGGCTTATTTGCCTGGGATGTAAGTCTCCAATTGTCTTCCAAAATGTCTGGATCTCCACCTGTGGATGCATCAATGATTTCCGTGCTACGTTCTCGGCTAATGTGATCAGGATTTATTGGACATTCCTTGGCTCCATTTGGTGTGAACAGCGCCTTTCGGGGCGTGATGCGCACACGGATGAGCTGCTTGTTGCTAGGTCCTCCTTTGTCTCGGATGATTTTGCTGCACAAACAGTTTCGCTCTTGGTGGGATCCCCGGAGGGAAACTTGATGCTGTTATCATCGTCATAGACATAGTTGATGAGGCCCTTGTGAGCAATTTCTCCATGCGCCTTCACTCTTGCAACTCCAGCGAGATCGACGAGTGCATGTCCTGTACCGGATACTGGAACTGCTTGACGGTTCATGCCAAAGGCCTTGCATGTGATCTTGTCACATTGAGGTGTGTGCTCGATGGTCATGTAGAGGTTCCGCATCTGGCTGATGCTGAGAAGGATCGGTACAGTTCCTTGTTCAAGGACGTCGATGTTGGTACTGCACGGAGGAGTTGTGTGATATCGAAGATGCAGGGTCCAATTTACCCTGGCGGTCTCTCCGTTTGCAAAAGTGAACTTGGTCTCGGCCGGGATGTACTCATAGGAGATGATGTCCTTCATTGGTTCGATTGCCTGGGTAAAACGCTGGATTGCATGCCAGCTGCCCATAGATCTGGTACATCCATTGTCCAGAATCGCATAGGTCGGGTTGTGCTGAGGGTTGATGACAGGCGCCATCAGCTTTGTTGCCAGAAGGCTGTGATTTGTTGTGACGGACAGATTGTGTTCTGAAACTGTATCTGATTGGATCAGCTTCTCGTGGATGGCCTTTTTCCCAGGATGCTCATATGCATCATGGAATGCCATTAACGCTTGTCCTGTGCTGGATGTCTCATGGGATGAGTACCAGCCATGTTCGTTCCATGTCCATGATTGATCCCAGTCTTGGTCTGTCCAACCGGCATAGGTAGGCTCTATGGATGGTGCAGTCTGCTGGATGGCGGGCTGCTCCTCCGTCTTGTCTGCGGTGGCTGCGAACGTCTTGGATTTTCCTTTCTCCTGTCCGCTCTTTCCTTTACCGCTCTCATAGGATGGATAACCTTTGTTTCCATCATGGGGATATTGGAATTTTGATTTTCCTTTCTTTCCCTTCTTTCCTTTGCCTTTTCCCCAATATGCCTGGTCGTAGGGATCATAGTTTTCGTTGGCCATATTGGCCTTTCCGCCAGAACCGCTTTTTCTGAAGGGTTTAAAGCCACCTCGTTGGTGACTGCCCTTTTTGTTTCCTGATTTTCCTTTTCCTTTTCTCTTCTTGAACTTGAAGTTCCGCCCCGACACTTTTCTTGCTATGAACGCATCGTTCTCCTCGAGGACCCAGAACGTCTCTTCATCGTTGTTTGACATGAATCCTTCAAGTCCTTCTTCATCCTCAACCCAGAAGCCTTCTTCTCCTTCGTATTCACCTTGTTCGATGATGAAGAATGTGTTGCCTCGGTTGCCTCCTTGCGGTCGGATGGATGGATCTTGGATCGATGTCCTCGTCGTGATGAAGAGTTCATGGTAATGCGTCTTCAGCATCTCATAGGAATAATTCTCGAGTGAGATGTTTCTCAATGACATTGCACTTGTGAGTCTTTCTCTTTGTTGATCTGACAACTCACTTTGAATAATGAAAAACTGTGCAATGAGATTATCCTCGAAGGGAAATGCGTCCCGCTGTCTGTCCTGCATTCCTTGGATATACTGTCTGAGGACTGTAGGATCGTCCTCATTGAGCAGGGCTGGAGGCGGTGCTCGAACACCGGCTGCTTGCTGATGTCGAGCAATTGTTCTTGCATTTGCGTCCTGTACGGACTGTCGAAATGATGGGGACTGTGCCGTGAAAACGGGCATCAAGTCCATCCATGCTGCCTTCAATCTCATGAGAAGGATTTCGAATTTTGAGGTAAAAATGAGGAACTCTTGGTTCTGCCTTCTATGGTTGAAGAAACTGAGGAGTCTGTACAGATACACGTTGGTCGCACCTTTCAAAAAGTACTTCTTCAGCGTGTTCTTGAAATAGTTGACTCCTTCATCAGGATCTTGCAAAAGGTCATTTTGGAGGACTGCCTTGTACATATATGCATCTCCTGTGAGTCTGCTCTTTAGGAGAGGTCCTCTCTTTGGTGCTTCCACCGTCGTGATGGTCACCCAGTCGTCCACGAGTTCTTCATACCTGAACCAGCTGACTTTTCCGTCGTACGATGGCGGCTGCTTGGCGGTCATCGATAAATTTAGTGTTTCCTCCGTATAGCCTGGATTTTTGGCCATGCTTGAATAGGCTTCCATGAAGCCTTCTCCATCGGATGGCATCTTCCCTTTTATCTCTTCGCAAAACCCGCTCCGCTACCACGAATTGAGGCCCACTGCCCCAGGTGCCTATCCCCGGACGGAACTGGAACCCTGTGGTAGTTGAGGTCGTTGTTGGTCCCTGGATCTATTCCGGAGAGAATCCAACATGCCAGTAATTAATGGATGATTGGAGGATGGATTGTCCCTGGTGGATTGCCTTGTGGATAATCCTGTAAGCGGCCTGCAATGGCTCTTTTGTCTTCACGCTCGGATGGTCGTGATTCTGCAAAAGGGGCCCTTGAGCCAAATGTTGCGGGAGATCAATGGTCTGAAAAACAGAACACAGGGGGAGGGGGGGGCTGTTGTCTGGGCAAAGGATTCTCAAGTTGGGAGTTGTTGTCTGGGCACCAGAACGGCAACCAGCAAGAAACCTTCATGATGGCGCCCGGAGAAGCACCCCAGGTTCCAAGTTGCACAAATTTCAGCGGTCAAGCCGAACAGAATTTCCAATGCAGGCGGTTTCGGAGCACATCGTGGCAGTGGAACACAGGTGTCCGTGACAGTGGAAAACAGACCGTGAATGGGGAACACGTGCTTCCAGTTGCTGCGCTCTTCCTGCCCAGTTTGATGAGGCTTTCACGCCGGTGCTCTGAGTCAACTGATGCAAAATCGAACACCAGATACCTCATACATCCTCAAAGCCTGTTGCCTTGAACCGTCTCCATCCAAGTACTGATGGCACATCTTTTAGCTCACCAGACCTGCTTGAGATGCACAATGAGCCCCAGGAGGGTCCATAAAATGCATGAGACCCAAGATATCTCAAAGAAGCTTAGTTGGTGGTTGCATTCGTGCCGTAACTCTGGGCTACCCCTACTGAAAATGACAAGTTTGTTTGGTGGGCCAAATGGAAACCCAACCACTAAACCCTAAAAAGCTAAAAAGCTAAGGAACTGGATGGCTGGGAGCCACCAAGAAGCTGCCAAGACTTGGTACCAGTTTCCTCTAGCTGGTGGTTTCCCATTTTTCTCTACCAAGGCCAGGGGTTCAAGTCCCCAAGCCACCAACCACGGGTGACCTGATTTGAATATGCCTTTCAACAACCCTGACATCCAAAAAAAGAGAAAACACGTCCAGTAGAGATAGGTCGATTCCCTTTAAAACCAACAGAGGAAAATAAAACACGTATTCCTTTCAGCAAATGGATTGGCCTATGCAGAACTTCAGCCTCAAACCATGCCCCAAAACGCCCAACACAAACTTGAAAGCTAGGAACTCGCAACACAACATGCCGGTGAAAACATGGAGAAAAAAAACACACTCGAAACCCGGGGGGGGGGGGATATTTGCACAAAGACGAACTTGTTGCCGGTTTGCTTGGAATTTAGAATGGTTCACTGACCGGAACTGGGCTGCCCTCAAACCCCCCGCTAACAGTGAACAAATTTTAGTGGGTTAAATGGAAACTACAACTAAACACTAAAAGGATCTAAAAAGCTCAGGAAACGGATGGCTGGGAGCCACCAACGAAAATAAGGGCTCCTTATAATATAAGCCCTTCCTGGGTGATGTCGCAAAGCAACCTGACTTCGCCTAGGTCCCATGTGGGTACGGGTCAAAACAACACCACCAGAGGACCGCAGGTTTTAGTCCATGTTTCCACTTACCAGAGTTCCATTTTGGGGTTACCCAATTTTTGACCTGCAGCCATGGTTGGCTTCCTGGGGGAATTCAACACGAACCCAGCCAGGAGCTCCTGGACAGCTTCCTGCCACCAGCTGCGCTGCATACTGGGGCAGCTGCTGATGTCGAAGTTTGTGTCGGCCTTGGCCGACATGTCACCGACGTGCTGACACCCACTTCCGATCGAGTAGGGGAACCCCTACATAATGGGTGGCTTCCTTTTAGCTCCCAGTAAAAGGCAACCCCGCACAGGCGCGGCTCACTTTCTGAGTGGATGGGCCTAAACAGGTACCCACACTTTTACCAGCAACATGGTCCCCAAAAAGTGACTGCAGTCCATGAACTCCGGGAGTGAGGAAAAGCAGTGACAAACAGATGAGTGGCCCCCAAACCCACATGATTTTCACATGAGCAGTCTCGGAGGCAAACGAGCAGGACGGATTGGACTGCCGCCGCTTAGCCCGCCATGGAGTTCCGAGTTTTCACACTCGCTGCGCATTACATGTTGAAGGGGGTAAGAATGTATTTGCTGACTCTGCACTCGCGCATCTTCAGGCAATCCCAGCTGTGGCTGCCATACTTTCTGGGGCAGGTTTCCTCTAAGGACGGCTTCTGCAGCATGATGAAACAATAGAAGTGGTAAAGAAGAGACCGGGGGAATCTGCAAAACATGATCTAAGCATGCAACTCAAAGAAACAGTTGTTCAATTGTTGGCGCATATTGCTACCGTTCACTGCGGATTGATAGACCCGTAAACCAAAACAGGGGGTGTTCCCTCCAAAAGTGGTGAACCCCCATTAAACGGGTTTAAGTTTATTTATCTGGGATCAACATGTCCGCAGGGTAGAACCGCGGGGTGACCTAAAACGGTTTTCTCTCAAATTATGGAAATCCCAAACTTGGCTCTTTCCTTTAGTTTCCCCTATGGAACCCAATCGGCCTGAAAGACGGAGAGCGTGCCATGCACAGCCTCCAGGGTCAGCTCGATGGTGGCCTCGAGGAAATAAAACACTCGGTTCGTGAGGCCCGTCGGGATTTCCGGAAACCCCGGGGGAGTCTACTTGCAATCAGCGCGGTAGGTAGGGAGTGACCCATCAGCAAAAGAACGATGGCCATCCTTAAGTAATGGATGGCAAACAAACAATGGCTTCAAAAGGAACTGGGATTCAAACTCAAACCTATATCCAAACCGATCCGAACAAAGTTTTGCCAAATGTTTGTGTTTGTTGTTTTTCTCTGGGTGCTGGTGCGATCAGCAACTAGGGAATGACCGAGCCCGGGTGTTGGGAATGAACCCTTTTTTCTGTAGTCTATTTTAGTCGGGGAACCCTCCCCCACAAAAGGGTAAAAGGGCACTTCGGGGGGACCTAGAAGGCGTTCAGATTGGCTTTTCTCCAACCAGGGCCACGCCTCCTCTACCTCGCCACAGCTGAGCAAGGCAAAGTGCCAGTCGCGGATCTCGGTGGTTTGGAAGATGCGAACCTGGCAGAAATCGGCCTGCCACCAAACACGTAGGCCGGAATGCGACACGTTCCATTTGGTAAAACCAGAGCTAACACAACTAATTCATGTAATTCAAAAATAAAAATGCAATTATTGCCCAGAATGTAGGAGTCTTGCCTGCATGCCGTGCTACCCAAAAGCGAGCAAATAAATGCCGACTTGAAGCTCTCCGTGGTGTCTTCGATGCCATGTAGAAAGGTCGGAATGAATAGATTACCAGCAGTGAGTCTGCAGTCCAATCTTTCCAAACGTACTCGGGTCGGGTGACTTGTTCAGTGCTACCTGTTTGGAAGAAACTGGACTCAGCACTTTTGGCACTTGCTCATCTCATGCTCTGCCTCATGTTCTCGCGAGGCCAGTCTGGAAGAAGAAACTGCGTCTCAAATTCCGGTTAAAGACTAAGAGCGAAGAGGCCCAAAGAGCTAAAAACCAGAGCCCCTTTTTGACCCCGAGATGCTCGCCTCTCAGCCGAAGGCTTCACACAGATGCTTAAAAAGCCAAGAAACCAAAAAAGCAAAAAAGCCAAAAAGCCGAAAAGCCAAGAAGCAAAAAGCGAGAAACAAAAAAAACACGCCTAAAAAAGCCTCCCAGATGTTTTTGGGTGGTTCGAGGATCTTCTTTCCGTTTCGCCTTGTAGCCGTGGCTCGCGTCCTGGGTCTGCCCCAGCTTGGCATGCGTGGTGGCGTACTGCAGCTTCTCCTCGCAGGAGCTCTGGTCCCAGTTCCTCAGACGCATGGAGTCCCCCAAAAGCGGTGCGTGGTGCGTGGTGGTTGGCGCAACTCAAGGCGGATGTGGTAGAAAAAGGGTGATGACCAAGCCCTCTTTGAGAGACTTTTTCCCAAATGCAAAGGGGAGGTTCCTCTGAAACTGATGATTGGTGGGTTATCTTTACTCTCAGATGTCCCTGCCAAGGTGTTTTGTCTCCAAGTGGACGTCGAAGGAATTCGAAGGACCAAGGCGTCCAAGAAAAAGAAACCACATCTCATGTCACCTCAAACGCGGTCTGGCTGCTTTGATGTGGATCTTTGGGAACCCTCTGCCATGGCAAAAGCCAGGAGGAGGCCCTCCACAGCTCCGAACTCACGCCCTGGTCTGCACAGCGCGCCCTGCGCACGCACTTCGCGGAGCCAGGCATGGAGGGGGACGAGCGCGAACAGCAATCCTCAGAAGGAATAGGGCAACCCCTGTTGCGACAGGAGACCAGCCAAATGCAAAACCGGCACCAGGGGAAAGCCAGGGTGCCTGGGTCGAGGTCACTGCCAGCAAAAGACGGAAGGGGCATGACCACAAGCGGGGCAGGCACGCGCGTGCGCCACAGCGCCAAGGAGCAAACCCAAGCAGACTTGGAGGCTGAGGCGGCCGTGCAGGAAATCAAGGCCTCAGCAACACCAAAGTCCGCTGAGTCAAACTGCTTGGGTTTGTAGCTCAAGCTGAGCTCCCCGTTGCGCAGGCCAATGGGGCAGCATGCGCACATCTTTCCCGCCACTGGCCGGGACTCCGTGCTAACGCCTGCCGCTTCCCAGGTCCACAGGCGGCTGGTAACGCGCCAGGGGTCCAGGCAGCAAAGGGCTGTGTCGCACAGCGCAAAGTCGAAAAGCGGCAGGTCGACGACTGGCAACGAACCCATCCAAGTCAAGGCCGCGCAGGGGCAACGGCGCCGCACAACCAGCCCAACGCACTTCCAAGCTGCTAGCAAATGGAGAAGGGCAGACCTGGACAACAACCTGAAGCGTCCCTTGAAAAATAAAGGATGCTTCTTATCTGGCGAATTATTGCCTACAATCGCTTTAAATGCTGCTTCAGTTGGCTGACTTACAATTCTAACAACATCTCGAGTGGTTGTTGCCAATCTTTCTAAATGACCAACATATTTTCAGGAACTGTTTCTTAGTCATTTATGTTGACTTGGATTATCTGCTCAGTTCATTTTGATTTGACAAATGTTATTTCCATCATCACCATCATGTTTTAATCATGCAGTATACGGTCCTACTCTTCCTGTATGACCCCTTTTTATTAGTTAAAGCACAGATCAACGTCATGCAGAATGTCTCAAAGATCCAGTATGGAATATCTTCCATCTGCATGTTTGTTGTGTTTTTTCCTCTTGGTTTGCTTTTTCCAAATATTCTTCCGTTCAGTGATGCTGCAGCTGGCCAGGTGCCACGGGGCCGTCGCCAACCCGCGCCCAACTCTTCTCTTCCGATCGCGGAATCCGATGCACGCCCCCAAGCAGCCGAATTGGCTGCGAATTTGTAGGGAACCGAGTCCGGGTGCTAGAAATGAACCGTTTGGGGAACCAGCAAGATTGTTCTCGTCATTCGATTTCTCATTCCCTGCCTACCACACCAGCAAGCACAGGTACCCTACGAACAATAAGCAGCACTCTGCACAAGTTGGTCATGCTTCGTCTCAGTTGCCCAAAGGACCTGGAACTAAAAGGTTAACCTTTTGGGGCCATGACTAAATATGGACCAAAATTGGAAAACCAAAAGGTCAAAAGGTCGGCTTTGAACAACTGAGTCGTGCATGGCCATTTGAAAGCCACGGTTGGAATCCAATGACGAAAAGAGACTGCGAACCTTCACAAAGAAGGGCTTCCGCGTGGTTAACATGGAACCCATGTTAACACCCCACACCAAAAGGGGATCATAAGGGGATCATCAGGGGTTCTCTATCCACAAATTGGTGAGTTGATCCTTTCGTTTAGCTTCCCTACGCAGCTAACATACGCCATGTGGACAAGTTACCTGGGTGACAAAAATGCGTCTGGAGAAACGGAGGCCCATCCCTTTTGCTTTTCTGGGGACATGAGTTCACCGATCTGACTTCGCTTTCTTGGGTGGGTTGGTCCGAAGAAGTCACCGCTGACTTTTTGGCTTGCCACATACCTTCTAAAATTTAGCCAAGACTCGGTTGCGAAATCTGCGAAGCCCTGCTAAAAGTAAATAACTTTTAGTGGTTTGGTGGAAAACCCATTAGTTGGCAGAAAGTTAAAGTCCTAACATCCAAGCAACATGCACCAAAGAAAACTGCTCCAAACCCAAAAAAAAGATACCTTTGGCCCAGGGACTCGAGCCGCCCCGTTCACCGCCCCCGTTCCTTCCGTTCCTTCCGTTCCCCGCTCCCCGAAGCCCGCCCGCCCGCCCGCCACCGCCCGCCCTTCGAGCGCCGAAGCTCTGGCGGGCCAAGTGCCACTTGTCCTCCCGCCCGTCGAAGGCCACGAAGTAGACCGGGCCCATGGAAGCCAAAGACCGCGCGCCGCGCCACTCCACCAAGGCCTCAATCACGCGCCGTAGCCCCCTGCTGATACATTATAACATATATATATATAAATATATATATATATATATATGTATGCATCTAGTTATGTATTTGTATATGTGCCACTACATATATATATATACATATACACATATGCAAACACACACACATACATATATATATATATATGTGTGTGTGTGTGTATGTGTAGGTTGCTGAAAGAACCCAAAGATACAAGGTTAACCTGGGCCCATGAGTAATAATGGACCAAATCTGAAAAGCTTAAAGGTCAAAAGGTCATCCTTTGGGCCACTGAGCATATACTCACACTTCCGATCGAGTAGACAGGCCAAATAAAGTAACCAAACTTTTGATTTACCACTAAAATGGTCTTCCCAAAAAAAGTTTAAAGTCCATCAACTCAGGGAGAGTATACATATGGCACGTAGACATGTGCGGTATGCGATCATTTTAGAAACATGTAGAATGCGGTATGTCAAGACACACATATATAGGTAAACGTGGTACATATACATATGATAGAATGCTATGTATATGTCTTATACATGCAGATGCATGCTAAAGATGCATGTGTGCAAGGTGAAACTACATGAAGGAAGGCTTTCAGGAAGGCATCAATGCCAGCCTTCTGACCGAAGCGTGAGGTGGTTTTGCTGCATTGCTTTCCCCGGGGGGGAAAGAGACTCGGAGGTTGCCCTCACTCCCTGGCACCTGATAGGAAGAACATGATCTTCCAGGCACCCTCACAGCTGCTACGTTCGCATGACGGAGGGTGATGATCCATTTCAGGTTATCTTCTTTTTCTCCCCTCAAGGTCTAGGGGTCACGCTCCGAGTCCATAGAAAGTCCAAGGGAAGCCTGGCCTCCAAATGGGCACGGAGTTGATCCCATTTCCATGCTTCCCGATCCCATTTCCGCGCTTGCTGCGAACTACTCCGATGTTTTCGAACACAAAGCTCCCAGAAACCCTTTGAAACGCCGAGACCGTGGCACGCCTTCAACTTCAGTGAGCTCACCTCTTTTGACGCGTGCTCCTTCTTGTCGCTTGAAAATGCGGAGAGCCCGGAACAACATCTTGGGCAAAAATGGCGATGGGGTCTCCCAGAATGGGCTCGGAGATCATGCAAAGGGCACCCCCCCCCTAAAGGGAGGGAACTACCGTAGGCCCCACTTTTCTTTTGCGCCTCGATAGAGGATGCCACCTCGCCCTCCGCCGCTCGGCCGACGCAAAAGCCGCCCAAGTGCCAGCTGCCTGAGGCAGCTTGCCCAGTGCGAGCATGGTGGGGGTCAAAAATAGGTACCTGGAATGGGTTGCCCTGGTAAGTGGAAACATGGACCAAAACCTGCGGTCCAATTCCTGGTGGCGAAATTTTAACAGAGCACAACTCAGGCAATGCTTTGAAGCAGCCCACCCATGTTGGAAGTGCATCTTGGGTATGGGACATCCCTGCAAAGAAGCGCGAGTCCGGGCTGCAGTCTCGGTTGGTCATTTTCGCAAATCTAAAATCATACCTTTCCTTGTGCAGCAGTCAAAACGTGTCTTCTTGACTGATTTACAAATTACAACAGCTCACTATGGTACCAAATGTTTAAAAATTATTTGACGCCTGGCAACTGGAATTCCAATGCCGTGGATTCGTTTTAAGGCACAGTTGGGAGGAACCTGCCGTGGATTCTTTGTAAGGTGCACCCGAGAACCCCTGCTGGCTAGGGGCTTCTGCGTTGTGTGTGTGTGCTACTTCCCCGAAACATTGCAATCATCAAACCAACATGCGGCCCACGTCCTGCAAGCCAAAAACGATCGCCACACCTGTACGCTACAAAACGCATCCGAACTGCCAGAATATCAATGGCGCCAAAAATCAGTCCGCAAGGCTTGCGGTCAATGCATACTGGCCAGTGGCATGCATCCACGCATCCACGTATGCGAATCAACAAAAAAGTATTGGCTTGCCACGCCAAACAAGCACAAAATGCATGCATGGTTGAATGGTTCTATGATAGTACATGCTTGATTCTATGATGGCACTCATTGTCAGAATACACTTGCGCTGAAACACACACCTGGCACAATGCGCCGATTGATTCAAAGGCTTCTAATGGCTTGTATGCAAACATATGCGCTAGCGCGAGCAAATGCAAATACTGCAACTCCGCCCTTCAGAAAAAGGGCGTGACGAAGATGATTACTTCAGCAATGGGGCCAGCCGAGTATGCCTCTGACTTGTGCATTCCGGTGCATCCATGTGGCCTTTTGGAAAAATCGATGGGGTTCCCTTGTAAATGGAACAAAACCCATCTAAACCCCTCTAAACCAGTGGAACCCATCTATTTTTAACCAAACCAACCAAAAAATGACGCCTAGGGGTGCATCTATGTGTCCCTCGCGCCGGGGTGCGGTCGCTCTGCAGCGTGAAGCTCGCCTCGAGCGCGGGCTGGTGGGCGCTGAAGTAGGCGTCCGCCGTGAAAAACAGCAGCGCCGCAAGCACCGCGAAGGCCATGGCAAGAGGTCCGAAGGTCCGAGGGTCCGAAGGCTTGAGCTGCCAGGTTCGCTCAGTACACAGCTCCTCCAGTAGAGAGGTGAGAACAAGGGTACCAACTTCTTTTCTGTAGTGATCAACCACAACCCTGGCACTGCTGCAGAAGTGACCATGAAAGTCCAGGTCCCGCATGACCTTTCCTAGGTGAAGTCATGGCGATGTGTCAAGGAGGCCATTTCAATCGCTATTCTAACTCCTCCAGTAGAGAGGTTAAAATAAAAATGCCAACTTTCTTCTATAATCTATTTTAGTAGGGGATTTTGTCCCCCAAGAAAGAGTAAAAGGGCACTACTGGGGGACCTAGCCCCTTTCCGCGTTGGGAAGCCCTGCGGTTGAGCAACATGGATGTAGATGTCTGTGCGCGTTGCTGCAAGTACACAGGGCAAGTGGCAAAGATCCGTGACATCCGCGCATGTCAGAGGTGGAAGGTTGCAGCAATCGAAACATGAGCACCTCGAGAAACCCACGGGCCAGCCAGACCCTGTCAGCTTGTCCGCGTCTGCAATACGGTCACTGGTGAAGGCAGTGAAGGCCATGGAACTACTCGGCGCTGCTGCGCATTTGGGATTTAAAATGCGAAAGGGATGAAACCAAGCCCAACCTCTCCCCAACATCCCCACCGACCCCCTGCAATTCCCCAGGAAACGAACAATTGTGGGCCAGCTCTCTTGGCCCATGAATTTGCACACGTTGGAAGGCACCATTCGGGCGACCCGAATCTTTCACCTTCACAACGTTCATGGACGCAAACCACCCCCAAAGCCCTGGAGACCCCCTAACGACTCGGACAAGCGGAGTGACCGCAGCTGCCAACCCAAACCCCGCGGCGAACCCCTCGGCAAACGCTCCGCGCCTCGGCATCCTCGGAGTCCCTCAGGGTGACCGCATGCGCCAGAAAGGTTCTCAGAACCCTGCGACCCAAAATCCTAAAAACATCATTCCTAGGCGTTGCGGGCCTTTGACCTGTGCCCAGAATATGGAACAGGGCACCACTAAGGTTCTAAAAACATCATTCCTAGGCGTTGCGGGCCGTTCTTTTTGCCTCCCTACTTGGCAACTGACAGGTGATGCCCTGATGTGCCCAGAATGTTGCACTGTTACGTTACCTGAGGTCTCAAAGGACCACGTTGTTAAACTGCACAACTCGCATCCTGAGTGGAGTGGCCCGAAAGTCCTGTCTGTTTCCTCGGGTATTCGGCTAACTTGGTAAGTTGTTGATAACATGGGCTATAACCCACTTATAGGTTCCCCGTTCAGGTTCAGCGGAGTTAACCATGTCATTGGGTTACACAGGTGGCCAAACACTTACTAATTTGGCCGAACATCCAAATACCTCTTGGCCACTAAAAACGTCTTCCTGGAAATTCCTCATCCTCGAAACTTTCGGGTGTTCCAGTGTTCTATGTGTTTTTAGGCGTTCCGTGTTGGATTTGCATGGTTTGCAGCTTTTTTGCGGTTCGCACCATTTTTTGCGCAGGCGACCATCGGGGCGATTTGCAGTTTTTTGCGGGCGTAACGTGCGGGCGTTTGCGCTGCACATTTGTGAAACGCCTATATAAAGCTACCAGTAGAATAAGGGTACAAAGATGTACCAAGTTTTTTCTGTAGTCTATTTTAGGGGAACCCCCCCAACCACAAAAAGGGTTAAAAAGGGCACCAATTGCTGGGGGACCTAGTCCAGGTTCGCCCCAAAAAGTGAACCTGTCAAGGAACTCAGGGCGCGAGATGACCTCGCGGCACGGGTTGCCCATTTCGAGTAGCCTAACATCATGCTACCTGGGCTGCCCGTTTTCAGATCCCCCGCTAAGAGTGAATAACTTTTAGTGGGTGAAATGGAAACTACCACTAAACACTAGGCTAAAAAGCTAAAAAGCTCAGGAACCGGATGGCTTGGAGCCACCTAGCTGCAATTGCACTTTTCGACTTTTGTGCCCACACGCACAGCGGCTTCACAAGGGATGGATAGATAATAAATATAAACATATATGTGTATATATCACCAGGGTACCCCAGAAATGCCCTCTGGGCGTAGCACTTCCCCAGGGACGAAACCCTCAGATCTGGCCCGGAACCATGGGACCACTTTCTCTACGAGCCCCTTTCAGATTTGGGAGGGTACAGTCGACGGGTCAATGCTGAATGCTTCGGCATGGGTTGAGAGCGACAAACCACCGTGTTCATCAAATAGCTGGGGAAGGGAGGGTGGGGGGGGGAGAGGCACATCATAGGCTAGGAAGCAGCTAAATATTACCCCCCCACCAATTAACATGTGTTGTCAATAAATACTGTGAATGCCCCTGCTTCCAATTTAAAGGCGCATGCAAAGCTCACCCCATGTCAAATGAACCCCGGACACCGCCCCCACCCCCTGCGAGGGACAACAGTTTCAATGCCGGCCGTTTAAAGTTCATGGGCCAACAGAAATGGGTCATAATTTACCCGGGCCCCCCTCACAAGTCACAAGTGGGGGACCCATGGCTGACCAACCCCTTCAGAGCTTGTTCCTTGGAATTTTGCCTAACTTAGAAAGTTGTTGGTTATAGCCCACGTTGAGGTCCCCCCTTCAGTAGAGTTAACCCTGTCATGAGTGTGTTACAAGTTGGGTGGCTAACCGGCTAACTTACTAATGTTGACCCAGGATTAATAAACCCGTCGCAGTATTAGGGGGGTGTTCCCTCCAAAAGTGATGAACCCCCACAAAAAGGGGACACCCCCCTATTAATCAACCAGGGGTTTATTAATCCGAGGTTAACATTAACTTGGCCGAACATCCAAGTATGGCACCGGCTCACGGCAACATGGGCCCCCGGCGTTGCACGCTCCTGGCCAACGCCCGGGCGACAGGAACGCGTCACATCGCCCGAAATGACAACACCCATTCAAGAAGCCCAGTACCGGGCCGGAGGGTGCTCATATGGCTGTGGCTCAAAAAACCGGTGCCAAAATGGGTTGCCCTGGTAAGTGGAAACATGGACCAAAACCTGCGTAACCCCTCCTGGTTAATTTTGAGCCACACCCATATACCCATTCCGCCAACTAACATGGCACCGATGGGGAGGGACCTGGCAAATGAACTTCCATTTGAAGGGACCCCCGGTCAGTTGCCATGTTAGTGGGAGGGAGAGTATGCGGCAACAATGTTCCCTAGCGCTTTGTTAGGAGGGAGTAAGTGGCCACAAAGGCACAATAAAGGCTACCTCTTGCCAGATTGATGGCGGCTCTGCATGCCTTTCAAATCGCACGCGGATTCAAATGATGTGAGCATGTAACCCAGCAAGAAAGCTGCGTGACAGTGACAATCAACTTTCAGCCGAAAACGAGCAGTACAAACTTACAGCATCCCAAGTCCTAAGCCAAATTACTTTTTCGAAGAAGTAAAAATCAGCGATGGACCAAGCCTAGCAACTCGTCTCCAATCCCAATCCCATGGTAACATGCAATAAGCGCAATTTGCTCCCCCAGATTCTGCTCGGAAGCGCATGGCAACGAAGCTGGGTGAATTATAATGTTTCACCAACCTGAAATAAGATGTTTGGGGGGCTACTCCCCACATAAACCACCATTTGGGGTGAGGTCGTGTGAGCTCGTTCTAATTCACCCAGACGAATGAAGCACAAAGCCATGGGATCGAAAGCGAAACGCCGTCAGCTTCCAGAAGGGCAGGTGCATCTTTCGAGGAAGGCTTTCGTGTTGGGGGAAAATCGACTTTTTTTCGGGAGCCGCCACTTTTGGAGCCAATGTCTGGTGCTTCCCTGGTTCCCTTCTCGCCTTTGCTTCCAGGGAATGAGAAAACACGTCCGGTAGTGATAGGTCCCTTTAAAACCAACACGGGAAAACCGGAAAAAGAACATACTCATGTCAGCAAATGGAAGCTTACTCATTAAATTGTTCCCCAGTGCTTCGAGAACCGCCTACCTCCCCCAGACCTTGGGCCATTTTCGCCCAAAAGCAGGATCCCTGCACAGAATGGGAGAAGAGCAGCTCGAACATAAGATCCAAACTGGCCCCATACGGCCCCATTAAAGTCAGTCCCTAAGTGGTAGGTCAAAGGGAAACAACACCATGTTCTGACTTTGATAACCCCCAGAAACAGTCAAAGTAATGGCCCTAGCCTAAAATAGAGACCTCTTCAGGGAAGCAAATGGACCGTTGTGCTCGCGACTCGCCGCCGCCTGCTCCTCTGAGCTCTTCTTCCTCACGAACGCCTGAGGCCGAATTCGGAGACAACCCGAATCAATTGAAAGCCACTTCCCATCGAATCGACGCTTGGCTCTTTTCCCAGCTACGACAAGTAAGCAAGCAGGATTCCACATGCCGCTTCGAACAGAACCCTATTGATCTCACGAGACGTGGCGCTCAACACGCTACGAACATCGGGGGATGCAAAGAGTGACCAATACCTTCAAGCAAAGGAACTTTATTTCTATATGCAAATGCGACAACATGAGCCAAACACAGATCAGCAAACCGAACTTGACAGCAAACAACAAAGTATATGCATGTGCATGCCCCAGGCGCATAGTTGCACACACACACACACACAAATACACGTTGAGACAGAAGCAAATGAATGTGCATGCAGGCGCATACCTACAATGTTCAAAGGTGCTTACTTGTTCAGGCCCGCGGCCCCGCAGTCCTCCCCCATGCTATCCCGATGTGGCAAGACTAACCCACGGCTGAAACAGTACTATGCAGTACTGATTAGGCCAATACTTACTTCAGTAGAATGATGCTACGAGAATTGTGGGTGAGACATTGTCAAACCAGGGCTTGACCAATGAGTTCCATATCCGCTGAACGGAGTGTGAGAAGCGCCTGCACGTTTACACGACAACATGCACATGCAGGACATAATTTGCATAATTCATTGGGCTGCGATACAGTTCTACATCTGTGTATATACATCTACCAAAAAAAAAAAAAAAAAAAAAAAAAAAAACATGCGTATGTGAATCTACACATGCGGCATGCGCGAGTGCAAACCTATCCGGCAGCATCTCCCCGTGCTTTCCCGGGTCCGTCACCAGGCCTCCCCCATGTCCTCGAGCAAATCCCCTATGGCGCCTGAGGAGGTCTTACTTTGGGTGCGTGGCCCAGTTGTTTTGGGGGGTGGGATCCATTTCTCCCATAGATTCAAGTCCCCAAACCAATCCAAAACAATGAAGGTCGGCTTTCATATGTCGTTGGTACCCTCCGTTACCCCAGCTATAAGCCTCCCGTTCCGAATGAACCCTGTCACTGGGTAACCCAGGTGGCGAACCATCCAAGTAGGGAGGGGTCCTTCCAAAACCCAAGCCAACACTGAAGAAAAACAACTGGCTGTTCAAAAAAACATAACCCAGCCGTAAGCCTCCCGTTCAGTGGAATTAATCCTAACCACTTCCTGCCAAAATAACATGTTCAACCTAACGGCGTAAACAACCAATAGAACTGTGAGGAGCGGGACAGAGCATATTTTTGTTGGTTGCCTATGGTGGGTTTCTTTGTGGAAATGAATCCGTCAATCACCTGAAAAGGATCCAAACAAAGCAGGGGTTGGAGGGCTGGAAGGGAATTACTAAGACATAGGCATGGTTTCGGCGCAATTCACGATGTGAGTTACTAGCAATGTGCATCATCTACTTGCCCCAAAGCCCGTGGGGCAACGAAAGGAATCTCTTTTGCTTGCTCATATTGGGGTTCGCCAACTGGAGCCACATGGCACTGAACTCAACGATCAGGGTAATGCAACATTGGGTCTGGTACGGTTCCCGGAGGTAACCAGGGTTTGCAATTTTGCAAATAGCTTTACCCGTGTGCCCACAAGTCTTTTTACGCGAACAGGCGCGCGCTGTGCACTTCCCGTTTTCATCTTGACAGTTGCCGAGAAATGCATTTCTCTAGCCATGATGCCCACTTACGAGTAAGAAACTACTTCTGGAACAAAGCCGCAACCAAATAAAAAGCCCCGAAATCAAGTTAAGCTGTTTTGTCCTTAAATATTTTTTGGACCCAGCCCAGAAGTTGCCAACAAACATGAAGCCATTGTATCCCCTGCAAGGTCATCAACCATACCCGAAATAAAGCTAAGACCGTGTTGCCTCTACACATGTTTTATCCACTGTTGATTCCAATCTTTGGTGCCATTTCCAGCTTCCCTTTCTGACGCCAGCCGAATATTCTTTTCAACATGCCCAAATACACGGGTAACCCCCACAAAAGTCATCTGCGCTAAATACACACACGCACACACCCGAAATAAAGCTGCATATACCCCCTACGAAAAAAAGGAGTATTTACCATGCAAACCCAGGTTTTCTCAAAAATGCCCAGAAACCAGCGGGTATTATAATGATCTGGGTCACTTTCTGGACGTGCCAAACTAATATAAAACCAAATAAAAGTAGAATTGCGTCACCATTTGAAGAGTACTGCCAAGCTTTCTCGAATAAAAACACTTCGCAATTAGTAATGCCTTTTGTAAAGTAGCATTGCCAGACTTCCTTAAACCGCAACTCAAGCCCAATTCAAAAGCATTGCCAGACTTCCTAGAACCTCACGTAGTACAAAACAATTCGAAAGTAGTATTGTTAGACTTCCTGGATTCCAACTCCAAAAGGGATCACTTCGAATAATTCGCGATTGAAAACCGTCGCAACTTGTTCTTTCGGGGAGCTGGGAGGGGAATTTATGAATCAGAGGTGGGGCATTGGTGTAGTTGGGCTCGCAGGTCAGATTGATAAAGAAGCCTTTTAAGAAGCCTTACCAGGGAGCCTTACCAGGAAGCCTTATAAGCAAGCCTTATAAGGAGCGTTATGAGGATACAAGGGAGCTTTGCAAGCCAAGATTATAAACGCCATCAGGGTCTTCTGAAGGGGACCGGTGCCAACAAAGACAACTCCGCTCGCTGGCCCCACCCACGCTGCTCCAAAGCAAAGGCTCCACCATACATGGAACCCTCTTCCCTGAACAAAACCCATTGCCTGGGTGGATGGGTCGCAGAATTGGTTGAACTCCTCCAGATGGGCGCTTTGCTCTTTGGTTGCCCTTGAAAAGTCACCCCACAAATGGGCACCTCCTGCAGACTACCCATCAAAAAGGGAACCAACACCAATTTTGGGCAATGTTCAACGGCTCACTTAACCAAAGGACTTGGAACAAAACGTCGAAGCCAAACCTGGACCAACCTTTTTCAAACAACCTGGACAAAAAAACTTCTAAACACGGACCAACCTTATTTGTTTAAACATCAAAAGCTCAGATCCGGCTTCTATTCGCCTATCCGCAGGGCTGGGCTGCAGACCAAAGTTTTATGGAATCTTCGGGGGGCTGTGAGGGGCGGCTATCCCTGGATAAGCCCAGGATAACCCAAGGATAAGCCCTGAATAAGGCCTTGATAAGGGCTTAATGAGGGATAGCCCCCCCTTGGCAGTCCATGACAAAGCAACGTCTGGGGTCCGGGCCTGAGTTCACCAAGGCGGCCGCCCAGCGCGCCGTCTGGCTCTTGGCTTGCGCCTGCAGCCAGAGCTGCAGCTTCCTCAGCTTCGCCGCTAGCTCTCGAAGCGGTGGAAACGAGGGCTGGTTGCTTTGGGCGTTTCTGGGGTCCACGAGGGTTGCTTGCGGCTTTGGACTTGCGGATCTGAGGCTCAGTTTCTTGCTCTGGCGCGAGGGATGGACAAAAACCTGCACAAAGGACCTGAAAATGAAAGTCTGATCTTTCGGGGCCATGACCAGAAATCGACAAAAATAGGAAAAGCAAAAGGTGAAAAGGTCGGATTGCTTTGGACAACTGAGAAACTGATTCACTCGGGCTGATCCGGACATGAAAAAGCCATCTGGTGATGAGCCGCAGGAGCACGGGCCCAGCCTCAAAACTGAATAAGGATTGGGGGTGAGTGACCCCACTGCTTCCGTGATTGGAAAATTGGACGACGCCTGTGGTTTCCTGATGGAAGTAGAAACCATGATAGGACAACAGCCGCTTTTTTGATGAGGGGTTTCCCAGTTTGGGGGCGCACGCTCGTGTTCCAAGATGTCAGAAGGATACAGGGTCACAGCAAAGTGCCAGCCGATCAGAGAGGATTTAATTAAGCAGACCAAGTCAAAACAATGGCAATGGCTTGAGCTTGACAGCATAGCTTCAATTGAGTCATGATCAAAGCTAGGAAGGAAGGCGGCCACAGCTATTTATGTTTGGGATTGTGCCTGTGTGGCTCAAGTGCCCTCAGTCAAGGAACTGTATACCCCCAGCTACCCCAAGACCGATGGCCCCGCTGAATCGATGTGTCCCTCCAGTGTTAACCGCCTCTCGGCTCAGGGAACGTCAATATGCTGAGTCTGTAACTTTCTTGGGTGCCAAAGACAGAAGTATACAGTGACTTCTGAAAACAAATGTCCGCCCTCTGGGGCGCCCGCTTCGTGTAAGGCTTCCCATCCAAGAGTGAACCTGTGGTTCAACATGCCAGCAATATAGTGGAAGACTTCCGGACCTGGAAAAAAAACCGCTTCTGTAGAGCAAAAAACTCGTAGTTGCGGACACCTAGGCAAAATTGCCAGCAAGCTTGCCCAGAGCTCCCTTGACCAAAGGCGACGTGCCCCAAAGAAGGCGCCGCTTGCTCCTTGGATGCTTGGCCAAGGATGGTAAGTCTATAGCCACCTGACTTATAGCCCACTACTGACAGGGTTGGCTCCACTGGAGCCTTACAAGTGGGGTCTTGCCAAAGTAGCCAAACACCCAAGTCCTCACTCCCTGAGTGGATTGGCCCAACAAAGTCCACACTTTTCGTTTGCCACTAAAATGGTCTTTCCCCCCCCCCAAACAAAAACAAGAAGAGGACAAGAAAAATATCCGCGAACTCAGGGCGTAAGAATCAGAACCCCTCCTTTCTTTTCCACCCGAATCCCCGTCTTTTGGCAAAGCGCCCGGCTTGCAGCGTGCAGTGCTGGCGCAGGTGCTCGCACACCACGCTCTTCGCCTCTGCGGAGCACAACTGTTCGCAGATGTCCTGGCAGAGCTGGACGCCATACGTCCAGTGAGCCAACCACATCCAAACACGAAACCCAGGTGGACGACGGTAGATGAGAGGGGTTGGCTTCATCGAAATCATGGCTTGGCTGATTTGAGGTGCTTCTGTCCGATTCTGCGCAGACAAACAGAGCTGGCCCTCGCCACCCCAACCGAAACCGCACTTTTTGCGTTGGAAGAAAGAATGATTGACCCCATCTGGGCCGGATCTGAGAACGCATGCGCGTTCAGATGTTTTGAACATCGCTCGGAGCCAGGTAGCTTTCAGGATAGCATGCCCTAGACATTCTCTTAGCCGCCTACATCACGGGCCCATGGGGCTGGCTGGCTCAAGCGGCAAGACACCGCGTCCGGTTCCAAGTGAGGTGCACTTCTTTGAATGCCGCAGCCCCATGTGGGCTGGTGTAGTTTTTGGAGGTTTTGCTTTGGCTGGTGTCTGAAAAAAAGGAAAGCACGAGGAAAACCGGGATCCCCAACAGACACACACCTAAATGCTGGAGCTGGTCTTAGGTCGCCTTCTGCGAATTCTCTACACAACCTTGAGATTGAATCCACCGTGCAAGTTTCTGAGCTCACGGGAAAAGAAAGGAATCACGCACCAAAAGGGGCCTGCATCATCCTTCCTGGGCAAACTCCTGGTGCCGTTCACATATCGTGCTGCCAGGAGGCTAACTTCTTTCCAGATTGTCGATGCGCGAATTAAAATCTTGCAGACCAGAAATGGAAACTGCCAGTAGAACTTCCATTTGGTTAAGACCCCTGAAAAAAAGCATATTTACAGTAGTAGTGACAAGTTCCTTTTAAAACCAACAAGGGGAAGAAAAATAATCAGCAAATGGAAGATAATGTTGAACTTAGTTTGGCGCCTTTCCCGAGATGTCACGTTTCTGGGCCAGTCTGGGACCTCACCCTGACCTGAGCCGGGCAAAAGCGTCAAAACACCTGCTAAAAGTTTCACATTTGCCTGTGTGCGAGAGATTCTCAGCGCAAGATTTCTCTGATAGGTGTTTTGCTTCATCGGTCTGGCTCAAGGTGTTGAATTCTGGATCTGATGATTTACCACCAAACCCCCGCAAAACACAAGCCGTTCAAGGACTTGGGAAGGTTCCGTGCCCCGGTAAGATCGCATCTCTCAAGTTGCCTGGTTCTAGGTTCTCCAGTAGAGAGGTTAGAATAAGGGTACCCTTTTTTTCTTCTCTGCAGCCTATTTTGGAAGGGGAACCCTCCCAACTTAAAAAAAAAAAAAGGTAAAAAGGGTACCTAGCTGGACCTAGTGGTTGACCCGGCGCATCCGGTCCTCCTCCGCTACCTCCCTGAGAAGCAGCAGCAGAGCAGCGTTGTCCAGGCCGCGGCCTCCATGGGAATTTCTGGAGGGGGAAGGGGCCTCGATACCCGAGGCCCTACTCCTTTTCCCACACACTCACGCACTGCCCCGAGCACAAAGGCCCCAAAGAAGTCCGAACTTGATGTTTGCCACTAATTCAAACTGGCCTTCCCAGAAAGTATGAAATCCAGCAACTCAGGGACTGAGCTCATATCGAGTCTGCTCATTGCTCGAATGCAACATGCGGCGTATGGCCGCAAACAGCGTGTTGCGCAAGTGCAGGGCTGGGTGATCGAGTGAGCTGCCCCTGGCCACCTAAGCTCGCAGTGGGGCCCTTTTTTGGACCCTGCTGCCTCGTGCGGCCTTTGCACCGTTTCAAAGGGATACTTCTTGGCCAAAAACGGGGCCCCTTGATTTGACCAGCGCAACTTCTGAACCGCTTCCTGGATGGCCATCCATTAGGGCCCCCAACGGAGCGGAAGCCACGGCATTATGACAGACCCTTTTTGTCGCACAGCGGGGTCAAACCCTGCGCAAATGGAAATTACCCTCACCCAGACCCCATCCACCTCACCCAACAATCACAAGCCATGCCAAAGGCGAGGGATGTTCCCTATGCACCAGGACCAAAGCAAGCCACGCAAGATCAAGAGTCGAATCACAGCCCACCAGGCCCATTGCCTCCACAATGTACACCTTTCCCACCCACTACAGCCCCAGCCCCCTTCCTCTCCTCAGCTGCTCGGAAATCCGAGGTTCACCTTTTGGGGCTATGACTACAAATGGAAATCCACAGCTTGGAAATCCAAAAGGTCGGATCCCGTCGATTTGGCTTCCGTGTGCTATAAGTCCACTGTGCAAACAATCCAGTGGTGAATTCCATTCCCTTTAAAGCCAGGGTTAAAAGAAGAAGAAAGAACACAAAAAAAAAACTTCATTTCAGCCAATTGGGACGTTGACGGGTCCCCACGTCTCTCCCCCCCATCTCCCCATCTCCCCATCTCCCTCCCTCCTCCCCCCCCCCCCCGCGCCTCGCCGCAGAGCCTCCGCGCGGAAGGACCGCGCGGTGCGGGCGGCGCGGAGCTTCGCGGCCAGCGCTGCGGGCAGTTGGCCCTTCCTCGGCTCGGAGGCGCCGCTGCGGGTCGGCGCTGGAGCGGGTCGGCGGTGAATTCACTTCTGAAACCCGGGACCCGGCTTCAAAAAGCAAATGGTCCAAACCAACCCCCGAACTGCAGGTTCCATGTGGGAAACAACTAGAATAACGAGGTAGCACCTCAGCAATATTTGTTCCAGGACGGGTCAGAAGTCGCTGGCAGCGGGCGGGAGGGAGACGAAGACGTGGCAAGGACGGCGGCAGCGTTTTTGGTGGGGAGAAAAAGGGTGGAGACCCGGAGGTTCTCACGCTTTTGGTCACTCAATGTGGGGAAAATGGGGGAGACTACGGCTTGGGCGCCCGGAGGTGGGGAACTCACGCTCTTGCCGGAAGATTCATGAAGGGCGTTCGTGCAACCTCCCCACACGCCTAAAATCAACGTTGACAAAGCGGCCACGACGCGGCTTCGAGCCAAGAAAACAAAGTACACCCGGCAAGAACGGAAGCATAAGGCCAAAGGGGCGTTCGTGGATTCTCCCACAACTAAAGTCAACAAGCAAGGCGGCCGCGACTCCGTCCGAGAAAATAACATGAGATTGCTTCGTGCAAGCAATGCGGTTCGGGGCGGTTGCAATACATTCACCCAACAGTGACCCAACCCAAGAAAGTCAGCCTGAACTCGGCGAATCTGTCTACTTGAAACTGTTGACCCAGCAAGCTGCCATCCTTTGGAAACCGAGGGTAGGAATTTCGGGCATCAGCACGTTGAACGACAAAAGGAAGGTAAATTTGGACTGGTTGCCAGCGAGTTACAGCCGTGCAGAATGCGCCATCTTTGCTGGAAAGCAAAATCCAATCAGTCCGAAACAAGGCTGGCGCGATGCGACTGCCATGGTTGTCAAGGTCCTCCAGTAGAGAGGTTAGAATAACGGTACCCTTTTTTTCTGCAGTCTATTTTAGTAGGGGAACCCTACCCCAAAAAAGGGGTGGTAAAGGGACACCTAGCTGGGGGACCCAATATCCCAACCTTCCCGAACCTTGCGGCATGAAAGCTTTGAAGGTCCGATCTCAGCATCCAAATGGAACCGCCACCTTAAGGCAGCCTGATTGAATGATCGGGGGAAGTGAAACCAACATGTCCAAGTTTCGCACTTGAAAGGAAGGATGCTGTAAATTCAATGGTCAGGACTCCATGCAGCCGGCTTCAGTGCAGCTCTTTTGGCTTTTGCGAGGATGGGAACCAGAAATAGCCTCTCAGTAAGTTTCTGGATGCTTTTTTTTTTTTGGGGGGGGGGGGGCGCGGGGATGCCAGACATAGGGTCGCAGAACCTCAGCCCCAGAAAGTCTGACTTTGTGATTCCACATCAATCTGAGTACCAGTAGAGGTTCAAAGCCCCACCAACTAAGGGGTTCTCTGACTTGACTTGACTAGCGATTGATGCGCCGGCCCCTTTGCCCATTTCCAGCTGATGAAAGGCCTGATTTATGAAGGCACCCTCTTGCAGCTTCAATTCTCAATGGCCAACGCCACCCTGCCAAACAAAAGTAATCTGCTTGCCGGCTTTTGTCGGGGCTATGAAGCAAAAATGATGTCAAAGCGCAAAGAGGTTTGCCAAGAGTCTGGTCGAGATTTGCGCTTGCATTCCCGGGAATTGAAAAACAATCAAAGCAAGCAAACATCGTGTAGATTTAGATTGCTTCTCCCGACAAAGTGAAACTGAGACAAGAACCCTTCGCAGTGGCACAACTTAAACTCAGCCCAAAGGACCTGGACATAAAAGCTGAGCAATTAGGAGCCATCACTAAAACTGGCCCAAATCAGGCAAACCAAAGGATCCTGTCGATTCGCTTTCAAAGTCAATTCTTGGTTGACGTTGGAAGGCGAGCAAAATTATCAATTTTAGCAGTTAAGTGGTTGGATTGCAACCACAAAACCACAAATAAGCAAACATGGGCTCAGATGTTTCCCAACAAGAACCATGTAAACGGCCGCTTCCTGTCTGAGCGGCTTCACCCACTCCAGCTGGAGCAGATCCCTGCAGGCCATGACCACGCGCTCCCGCTCCGCGTCGCTGAGGCCAGGCCTCGGCCGTTTTTCGGGAGACCCAAAGCAAGTTTGGGGATCCCAAAGCCGGAAACCGGAAATGAAAGGTGAACACCTTTTGGGCCCACGACTAAAACTAGGTCCTCCAGTAGAGGGGTTAGAATAAGGGTACCAACTTTTTCTGTAGTCCATGTTCTTACCCCTTAAAACTCCCTGCGCCCTGGGGAAGTTCTCATCTTTTACAGACATATAGCCCATGTTACCCCCAAAAAGTTGAAAAGTTGTGTTTGTTTAAAGAGGTAAGCGCCCCATTTTCCCAACAGAAACCAATGCTGTGAGTGGTGGGTTTTTTGGGGGAGTCCTGCTCACAGTTATCCCAAGTGAGTCATCAAAACCGATCGGCACAAAAATGGTGAACCCAGAGTGTAAGGAATATTGAAAAGGCGGCGATCCGCAGCCATTTATGGCTGACATTGTGCCTTCAGGTGGAGTGTCCACTGCCGTTTGACTGGGAATCACTGAGTTTGGGCGACTCTTGGGTGTCCAAATCAAACACTAGTTTTTTCTTCTTTTTTTTGAGTGGCGGCACTATGGTGAAGCGAAAGGTCATCCTGAGTGGATTGCCCAACAAAAGTCTGAACGTTTTTTTTTTTTTGTTTTTTTTTTTTTTTTAAAAAATATCACCAAAATGGTCTTCCCAACAGTGACTATCGTCCAAGAACTCAGGAAGTGAGTCATAGGGTTGCATGGACGCCAAAAACACCATTGGCCTGCGTCATCCCGTGCCCTTGGCACAAGCCCAAGGACTGGTTGGAGAAACCCTCTAAGGGACCAGCAGGCAGTCATCCTCTCGACCGATGGGTAAAGTCCTGCGCGGGACAAACCAAGTCCTTTGCGCTAAAACCTGAAAATTCCATGAAGCCAACATAGCTTGGCGTGCCAAAGCACACTGTCTGCCAGGAGATTGACATGCCAGCAACGAGCATACGCGTGGTTCCAGCCTAAACCTAGTACCTTAGGCTACATATACGTACAAAGAAGAACGCCCCTTGCAAGTGGCTGGTCTTTCGAATCCTACTCAAAAGCGGTGTCTTGTCTGTCCAGCTTTGATGCTTGAGCCCCCGCTCGGACTCACGATGCCATCCATGGAACGCGGGTTCTATGGGCGGTCTTTTGAGGCAGGCTCATTGAGACACCAGTCGCACCCATGATCACCCATGCTGACACCGCAAGGTCCTCACACACAGAAATCCCTGAAGCCTCTGGCACACACACACACATCTGGAATCGTGCACCAAAGCGTGCATGTTCGGGATGATGTCTTTGAAGTCTTTTCAGAACAAGCTTCTCTTACATGTAGAACCAAGACACAACAAACCAAACAACCCCCGACAAATAGGACCCCAAGGCCCCCGCCCCCAACCAACCAGCCAGCCAGCCAGCCAGCCAACCAACCAACCAACCAAAAGCCTACAGGTAAACAGGTCCCATCCAAGCAAACCCCGCCCCTCCACCTCCGCCGAGTTTCAGGCAACGCGAGGGACTCCCAAAGCAATTCGTTTCACTCCCGTCCGCGCCTTGCGGAGACCCGAGGGCATCCCTGGCGATACTTCTTGCCAAAGTGGCCTGGCCATCAGAGCAGGGTGCGGGGAATTCGAGGAACAAAAAAAGCGTGTTGGCGGACGCCAACGCGTTTCGCTTGAAGCAAGTGACGTTGCAATGCTGCAAAACCTCAAGCCTCCGCCAGGTACATCTTGGCGACTTGAACCAACAACAACTTATGCTTCTCAACAGGCACCAACTGCGACAAACGATCAAAGCCGACAAGTGAGTAACGAATGCCTTTGGGTAACATGATGATGCAAACATCGGATATATATATATATATATTCAGCTAGTGCAATTGGTGGCTGGTTTGCAGGAAAACGGACAAAGGAAAAAAGGCGAGCCTTTTGGGGCCAAGACTATGGAGCAAATGGAATGAGTTGCCCAAGAGACCCAGAAATGAAAGGTGAACACCTTTTGGGCCCATGACTAAAACTAGGTCCTCCAGTAGAGGGGTTAGAATAAAGGTACCAACATTCTGTAGTCCATTTTAGTAGTTGAACCCTCCCCTCAAAAAGTTGGTATAAGAGCACCTAGCTGTGGGACCTGGTCAATAAATTTTAAAGCTGGACAACTAAAACTAAGGAAAACCAAAAAGGGTCAGATCCGTTTCTTTTTTTTTGTTTGCCCGCTGTGGGCAAGCGAGACTCGCTGCAAGACTCGCCAGAAGCTTCGCCCTGGCCTGGAGGTCGGATGCCCAGGGCATCTGCCTGCTCCTCACTGCGGGACCTGGCGAGCTGCTCCAGTCGGATGGCCCAAACTTTGGGACGATCCCTCTGCAACAAAACTTGGCTGACGTTGGGTTAGGGCACTGGACAGCACTGGGTTGAAACGAAAGCCTATCTCATGGTTGGTGAAATTTGGATAGCTGGTTTGGTGGTTGACTTGGTTGACCTTGGGTTTGGGGAGTTCCCAAATAAAACTGGCCACTAAAACTGGCCATCAGGGAAACCAAAAGGCCAAAAGGATCCGGTCGATTCGCTTTCAAAGAAAATTCTTGGTTGACGTTGGGTTGGGGGAGCAAAAACTCTGAAATTTTAGCAGTTAAGTAGTTCAGTGGTTGGATTTCCCAACAAGAACCATGAAAAGCGCCCTTGCAGAAAGAAAACTCTTTGCTTGGAAGCCAGGCCCAAAGCCTCGGCGATTGGTGACCCAGACATCTTTGCAGACATCTTGCGACAAATAAACCCTTGCGGAAAGAAATCTTTGCTTGGAATGAAGCCACGCCTGGCAAAGCCTCGCAAACAAGTATTGGTGACTCAGTGGCTGAGTTGGAGTTGCTTCATTTCTTTCATGCGCTTCGCTGGTTGCTGCCCCTCGTGTCTCCCCTTAAGGAGCGACCGAAAGACACTGAGAACCAACCGACAGGGACGCAGATGCTGCTCAGTGCTGACCACTTCAGAGCCCCCGGTTCTCTTTTGCAGGACCCAACCGCCCCTGTCACGTGCGAAGTTCGCTTCTCTTGCGCATTGCTTTCTGCACTTCGCGGCGGTTTTTCTGCGACTTGCCATGGCCGCATGTATCCTTTCAAGCAAACTGCAAATGGTTGTGAAACTTCTCCAAAGTAGTTGTGAGTGATTTCTGTGAACCTGCGACAAAAGAGCAAAGCGGATTGCTCTCCGTATTTTTCACCTGTGCCTCTGGGGGTTGCGGGGCCCGTCAGTTTGGATCCGTCTGACGGGTCTCGGTCCGTGTCACACCCGGGAGGAAAAAAATGTAGCTCCCCTCACGGGGGATTCCTTTTCTTATTGGGCGTGCAGGTACCCAAGGAAACAGTTCTGCAAACCGCCCTTGAAGTTCCAAGAGAATTCTTGGCTCCATACTTGGCCGCTGTAACGACCCCTCTGCAAGAAGTGAAAACCTTGTTGCGGGTCCAATTCGGAAAATCCCGCCCGGTTCAACCCGAGATCTTTAAAGTATGCAGTAGGTGTTGGTAGTCATCCCAGGCACAGGACATGGAGGGTTCCAGAAACCAATCAATTCAAGCAATGAACACTGATCGGCTGCAAGAAATGAGAGCAACACCGGTTGAAAACAGGTCACCTTCTTCCACTTCCAGCGGGTTTAAATGGAAACTACCACTAAACACTAAAAAGCTAAGGGTTTCGGATGGCCGGGAGCCAGCCAAGAAAAACGACCAGAGAAAATTTCACAAATCGTCACATCAGCCAATGAAAAACGTCGAGGTCTCGAAGAAAAACCCGAAATCTCCCGAAGTCTCCCGAAGTCTCCCGAAGTCTCCCGAAGTCTCCCGATCCTCGGGTGGGTCTTCAGCTGGTTCCAGGTGTTGCTCTGCACCACCCGCAAGCACAAGGAGTCCTGGAAACCGATGAAGGGATAAACAACTTCTCGCTGCCTCAGTGGGAAGTGCAACAACAGAACCAAACGGATTTCATTCCGCTACACAGAACCCATTGCTTTATTCTTGCCACTAAAGTGGTCTTCCAAACCACTTTTCTAGCATTTTCTAGCCCGGAACTTTGAGTTGACGAAAAAGAGACTTCACTCCATACTTTGGAGCAACATCAAATTTCTGTGTAGTTTGAGGGGTCGTACTTTTCCCAGGCCCCGAGTTGTCTGTTGTGTTGTGCCGGTTTTCCGGCAAGAATCCTGCCAACACTTTTCGGGCCAGCATTGAATTTCAAAAACGCAGCCCCCAGGACGACCCGCCCTCTAAACTAAAGGGAGGGCCACCAAAACAAGTGTAGAAGAGGGACTCTGGCCGGATCCAGTCCAATTTCCCGGACCATTTGCGCGAGCCACATGACTAGCAAGGCCAAAGATACACACACACACACACCCGCACGGTTTCTGCCAAAGGTGGCTGGTTCACGTCAAACCTGCCACACAATTGGAACCTGCAGGCCCACCCAAAGTGTCCGAGTTCTGTGCTCCTGCACTAGCTGGCTGCAGGCTGTCACCTGAGGTACCGCCAACCGCCAGCAGTCTGGGCATCCAAATGCCGAGTTGATTGGGTGAAAGTCTACGGCAACCAAGGGAACCACCCTTCAAATCCTAAGAGACAAGTGCTGCTTACCTAAGTGGCTTGCCTGGGATCCCGGGGGTCAACAAACCCAATCGGACGCTTGCAAAAATAAATGGCGCCAGCGGTCGCTTGTCCCGGCGCAATCCCCCAACGCAGGCGCCGGCTTGCTGATGACTTCGGGCCCTTCGGGTCGGGCCCTTCCGGGTTTCCGGAGGATTTCTGGGAAGAAGGATCCCTGGAAAGAATGGAATTGGAAGGTACCCCTAGGTTTGCTGCTTGCACGCAACCCGTGCATCATGGCCGCAAGTCATATGTCGCAATGACAGAATCTCCCTTCCCACTCTGCTTTGTTAACCTTTTAAAACTACAAAAAGAAAGCCACTGGGACGAGTTCGATCAAACAGCAACCTAAGAAAGCCAAGTATCCACTGAAACCAAGGGCCACAAGAGGCCCTTGGTGGCTTTACGTCAACTCGAAATCCGATCGACGCTAAAGCCGTCGTGAGCGAAAACAAGAAGCTCAAGCACCATGACGACCCTTCTGGTTCCCCCTTGTAGGTTCCATGACTGTTCTGCCTGGAAATCCGGGTGCTACATTTAAAGCCCAAGGATCCCTCACCTGCAGTTTTCAGCCAGCAGGGTTCGTTGGACAAGTCGTTCAATGTGGCCACGCGCTTTGTGGTGTGCCCTGATCTTCCGCTTGATCCATACTGAAAATCTCCCACGCGACCGAGCCCGTGGCGGCCCCAAGCGTTATTCCCCAATGTCAAATACGAACTCGACCTGCTAGGAAACAGGTGGCAAAGCGTGAGGGTGTCCAAAAGAAGTGTACCAAGGTCGGCCCCACAACCCTCGTCGCTGCTCGTTTCTAACGCGGACTCGGGAATAAGAAGCCCCAGTTTATGAATGCGGGGGGTGCCCCTGTGCGAACGTGGGGAATCAGACCGCTGCTGAAAAAATCCGAGCGGATGGCCAACCAACACAGGAACCAAGCTTTTGCTTAATGTTGGACCCTCTTTACACCACCACCCCCCTCGCTAGGAGTGGCAGGCTGGGACCCTCTTTAAGCGAGATCCTGGAGTCTGGGAGGGGACTATTAACAAAGGATGTGTAAGTAACATTGCCACCAAAACTCGGTTGCTTTCTGCTCCCCTGGTAAAAGTGAATAACTTTTAGTGGTTTAGTTCGGAAAGCCCATTAGTTGGCAAAAAGTTAAAGTCCTAACAGCCCTTGGCAAAATGCACCAAAGAACAAGAAGCATTCCCCAGTGGCCCAAGCCCTCAGGAAGTGATCAGCTTCCCTATTGAAATCCGAAAATCCAAACCACCAAACCCACCAAGTGGCGGCCGGCTATAGAAAGCCCATGGATCAGACCTCCCATAGGTCCGGTAGAGAGCTTAGAATAAGTTGGTACCATCTTTCTTCCGTTTTGTCTATTTTGGTAGGGGAGCCCTCCCCCCCAAAAAAGGGCTGAGAAAGGGCACCAATTGCTGGACCTAGCTTCTCCCAACCCCGGAGGAAAAAAAAAACACGAGACTTTTCGCCAAGCTGGACCAAGAGCTGAGGGACCAATTGCGCAAACCAAAAGCAACAACTTCTTCCAGGCCATGGGCAGCCGCGGGCCCCGAGACGAAGAGTCCGTCCGAGCCGCCAGCGCCCGGCGCTGCAGGAAGCTCCGCAGGTTCGAGGCCGTGGCCAGCACCGCCCGCAGCAAACTCAGCACCGCGCCTGGCGGACATCGGATCTCGGGCGTTGAACCAACAAAAACGGGCGGGCGACTTGCCCAAAGCCCCAGGAGCCGTTGGGAGGAAACCAAAAACGAGAACGTACGGTGGAGGGTTGAACTCGAACTCCGCCTCGCAGCACTTTGAAGCCATGTTTGACACCCTCGTTTGTTGGTGTTTACGTTGGGTAATCATCAGAAACCAGGGATTCTTAGGCGCACAGCATGTCCAGAATTAGCTTCTTCCTTCTATTTGGTGGTTTGGATTGTTTGGTGGTTTGGTGGTGTGTTGAAAGGCGTGGTGTCCCAGTTGCAAACTACAAAAACCAGCGGTTGAAATCCCCAGACCACAAATCCAAACCACCAACTGAGGGAGGGATACCTGACAGTAGTGCTAGATTCAACAACAGTGAAAATAATAACAAACAACACCAGATATCCTTCACTATGGGATCATTGCTTTCTTGGGTTTTTAGTGGGGTCTCTGACGGGACGACCCCAAAAAACCACAATGTTCCCGAAACCCTTGTGATTCTTTGCTGGGGCAAGGAAGTTACCCAACTGCCCCGATCAACCAAACCCTTGCCACTAAGCAACGCGATGCAGCTTTGAATGGCTGGGGGCGTTGGATTGGAGGCTGGCTTCGGGTTGCAAATGGTTCATGAGTCTATGACTGGAGTTGGGGCCAAGGTGTGTCACGAATGAAAAATATCGTGTCCCCTCACTTGCCTGGCGTTCGGAACAAGGTATTTGTTTGTCTTTTCCTTTTTCTTTTTGTTGGAGGGGGCGCTGGTTGGTTCTAAAGGAAATTCTCGCTTCCTGAGTAGGCTGGCCAAACAAAGCAACCAAACTTTGTAATTAATTGCCACAATGGTCCAAACCCACAAAGCTTCAAGTCCATCAGTTCAGGGAGTGAGTTAGATGAAGTTAGATGCCCAGAAGCCAACAGGGCGTCCACTGGGCGCCCTCCAAAGGTCGCGCCTGTCAGGACCAGGTTCCGAATCAAAGCTTCCCGGGGCTGGTGGGGCAAGTCCAGAAAATCCACCGACGCGAGCAGCAATATCGTCACCTTGGCAACCAACCATGCAACTGGAAACCCGGGTCGGTGGAAATAAGTTAAATAAGGTGTATCCCCAAAAAACTATGCAACTCAATGATAGGGCAATGAGGATAAGGTTCATTGAATGCCTTCATGTACCATTTGTTGCGGGGCTGTTCGTTCAACCCTCTCCGCCTATGCCGGTTCCTACTCTAAAAGTCGGGATCAAGAAACCGCTGCAACCGGGAAAAATGTTTTTTTTGTTTTTTAAACATTTGGATCTCTCTGTCTCTCTTTACGAGTGCTCTTTTTTTGGTGTGGTTTTACAGGGGAACCAAAAGGAGAACCCTGTCATTTTGAGGTAGCCCCATTTGAGACACACCCATTCGCAACATCCTGCAGATCAACATAGATCATCCGCGGGCAGCTCTCAGGTGGTATCCCCAACAGCATGCGGGGCTCGTTTTAGTGCTCGCACCACCCCTGGTAAAACCCTGGTGGAAACCTCGTGGAACCTTACCTCATGGCCGCCCCGGACCACCCCGGAGCCTATCTGGGCTGAGACCCCAAAGCTTTCAGCTGTCGAGAAAAAACGATTTGATGCACCGGACGATGCGCTTTGAACTTTCCCTCTAGTAGGGTGGTTTGGAGCCCTTCCCCAAGCCACCAATCGAAGAGCATGCCACCGACTGAAACAAACATGCACCTGGGTCGTCGTCCATGCATGCAGCACGACAGCGAGTGCCAAGTTCAAGGTGTGCGTGGGTGCTCCGACCCTGGAGTTCCCCAAGAATCTGAACATTGCAAAAGGCAGACAAATGCGCGGGTGGAAAAAGAAGCAGGTAGGGGAGCACAGGCGGGATGTGGTCGGCATCGCATGGTCGGCCCAAGCAAAAGGATGGAGTGTCTGGGTTCGTCTGTTTGACTTGTTTGCTTTGGAGGGCTGGGCATTCGGCGAGTACAAGCAAACACCACCGCAAAATAATATTTACTCAAGAAGCTCCAGATGCAACCCCGAAGTGAGCTCGCACAAGGGGAGATACCTCTACCCATGTTCAGCTGCCTGGTCGGTGGTTTGGTTTGGTGGCTTGGACTGCGGTACCTTCAAGGCAACTCGCGTTTAAGTTTTGAAGCCACCAGTCCAAACCACCAATTAAGGGGTACCTGACATGTCTGCTTGCCTCCACGTCCCCAGCTTTAGAAAGGGACCGAGGGAGGATATCATTCGTCCGGTAGGCTGCTCGGTGTCAAATGCCAACTTTGCAGCTCCTTGCCTCCGCTGGGTCACATTGGTGCGTTCTTCAAGCAGGGAGTTTCAAAAAAGGTCTACCCAGAAACAATCAGAAACAATACGACCACCTTTGACATAATTAGCAAGAATTTTTGGCATATAGTCATCGTGCAGGCAGAAGCTTCTCTCGGTTGCTTTCTGCACCCCTGCAGAAGAAAATAGTAACTTTTGGTGGTTTAATGGAAAACCCACTCGTTGGCAACACGTTAAAGTCCTAACATCCGGGCAAAATGCACCAAAGTTCGGTGAGTTCTTGAAGATGTTCGTCGTGCCAGGCCTTACCCCTTAAAACTCCCTGCGCCCTGGGGAAGTTCTCATCTTTTACAGACATATACCCCAGGTTGCCCAAAAAGTTGAAAAGTTGTGTGTTTTTAAGAGGTAAGAGGCCCCTTGGTCCGACTCTCCGCATCTCCGAATCTCTCCAGGCGGCGAGGTGTCCCACCGCCGCCGCCCAGCGCAGCGCGTGCAATGCCAGGCCCGTGTCCTGGAGCTGCGGAAGCCAGGCGTGCTGGTTGCTCTGCCCCGTTTTGAGCAGACTCGGAACGCGGAACTCGTCTGCAAGCAAACCATTTGCGCAATGTTTAGCTCAGTTGCCCCTTAGGGACCTGGAACTAAAAGGTGATCACCTTTTGGGGCCATGACTAAATATGGACCAAAATTGGAAAACCAAAAGGTCAAAAGCTCGGCTTTGAACAACTGAGTCAGTGGCTACTCCAAGTCACTTGTGTTCAGGGCTGGGAATGACCACTGTGATACAACAGAAAGGGCTTCCCAAAGACGATTTTCTTCATATAAAGGGGGATTCCCTTGTATCACAGGAGTGGGGAGAAACCCCTTGATCCCACAACCCTGCTTGTGTTTCTTTGGTTGCTTTGCTATTTTGAGGCCGGGGGGGGGGGGGGAGGGGGTCCCTCACTTAGCCAGAAGGCGATCTCTGACCTCCCCGAGAGAAACTCGGACGCAAGGCAGTGTTGACCTCTCATCAATAGCGGCCTTAGCAGCTACCGCAATCACTCTTCCTGTTTGGTGGAGATTCCCTTCATCCAGGGTTTTTAGAGGGACCCGGGAAGCTCTTGCAACACATAATCTATAGACAACTACACGGGCTGATAGCTGAAAATCAAGTGATTGAGTGTGCGACCAGCCGGGGGTGCAGCATTTCACAGCTGCTGTGGTCCGGCCAAATCACCTTGTACAGGTTAATCGGCTAAGACTTTGATATGGTATTTGTGCTGATCTGTTTTCCAGGGGGGAAAGCAAACTTTCTGCAAAAGGGACCCTCGAAAACAGTCACGAGATTCTGAACTTGGACAAGTTCCCACAAAAGCGACGGACCCCTAGCCCCTATCGTAGAAATGGGAACCATTTAAGAAAAACAAAGCTGATTATACTTGCCCCAATCGTGAAAGCAAGTGTATCTCTTGCGAACACCTTGCAACACAAGGACATCACATCCCTCAAGCTGATGCCTTGGTTGCGACACGGCTTGGAAGGCCACCCAATCCCCCACTTCTTGCAACTAGACCCGAAGAACTTGCAGTCTCCCTGACCCTTAAAAAAATGGGGTCATTGACCCATTTTTCAAGGGTCACGGAGACTCCAGGAAGGCCTTTTTAAGGCCAACCGCTGGGGGGGCGGTTCGGGGATGTGCTTCGGCCCATGTCCTCTTTGACATGTCGCAGAAGCTGGTCCGGCTCGTCCGCCGAGCCGCCGCCTTGACCCATTTTGCGGGAGTGGCTTCATCGACTTCTTGCAGCTCATCCCGCAAAAAATGTTTCACCAATTCTGGCATGGTGACTTCCCTTTAGCCAAGAGCCGCTAAACAAGCAGTTCCAGGGACCTGGCGTCACATGAGTTGGCGGCGAACAGTTTGTAAACCAGTTCCTCTTGGAGGTTACTTCCAAAAGGAACTGGTTTACAACTTTTCGCCGCCAAATCACGTCAGGTATGGAGGTCGGTTTTGAAAAGACACGAGTTTTTTGTTGTTTTTTCTCGCATGGAGCCCTCTGCACGCACGCGGCTTTTTTTGGACAAGCAGGCAATTTGGCCGCGAGGGGTCTTAGCGGACCGCGCTCTAGCGAAGTCCCAGTTGCCCAGGTTGCCCAGTGGCTGTGGTAGAAAGCGGAACACCTTTTTCTTCTTGGGGGGGGGGGTTGACTACTTGGCCAGTGAACCATCCAAACTAAAAGCGAAAATTCCAGTTGAGGCAATGAGTTCTCGTCCCGTGTGGATTTTATTGGGCCAGCACCTGGGGCCCTTGATGAGGAAACATGGAGCAAAGACGCGCTTCCATTTTCTCAAGCCCCCTGGAACAGCAAAAAGGTTTCCACTAGTCCCTTGAAACCAACAGGGGAAACTCAAACATATTGTTGAGCAAATGGAAGCTTGCAGCACCTTCGTCCATTTGCCGGGCATCTTCCCGGGCCATGTTTCAGACTATTTATTATGATAGCCTCTGATAGCCTCTTGAATCAGATGTGAGAGGAGCATCAAGCCCACAGGTCTGCCTCAAATCAGGCAAAGAAGAAACGAAAAACGACAGGACATTTTGAGAATTGACTCCCATGCACGAGGCTCTGTTTGAGTTCCGGTCGTTAAGCCTTGCCATGCGCTATGATAATGCATTCTTCGGGGAGACTAGTTGGGGCTCCTGTGCTCAACCGTCATCTGATTCGCAGAATGTAGCCGCCGGTGTAGACTCCTTCATAATGGAGACGCCTTTGCAGCCCACAAGCAATCCGATTTGAAGAACAGCGGTTTCTCAAAATCGCTGGAGCCCCAGAAAATGGTTCTCCTTGCAGACACGTCGCCGTCGTCCCCGAAGGCAAAAATTATGCCTCGGCTCGGCTTCGGACCCCGGTTTCGGCTCTCAAGGCTTCGAGTTGGCAGTGAGGTCCATCGATCCGGAGGTCACGTGGCTTCGCGTCTTGGACTGGGCAAGAAAAAACGAGGCGCTGGTTGCACACGCTGGTTGCTATTCCTACAGATCTATGCAGGCATCCAAAACATGGACCGCGACATCATCGGCCGCACTGCGAAAATTCAGTCCTCAACTTGGTTGATAAGTGGACTGCGGAAGGAGGGCTGAACATAAAACAGACCTGCTGTGCGGGATGGCAAATTCTGACTTATCTAGACTAGCTCGAAAGCAAGGCCACGCTGGCTGAAGGTGGTCAAGCAGCAAAACACTTCAGGGCTGAGGGTGGGGAGGTATCGGCTGACTTCCTTTTGTGGGCAGCGCTTGCAGAACAAGACATAACAAGAGCTCTTCGGACGGACACATGGCATCCATGTGCTGCAAATGACCGACAAGCCCGCAAGCCGCGGGCAAGTCATACCGTCATACCCCAATAGGGCCACTGGCAGTCCCTCAACGGGCCCAGCCGCCGAAGGTGCCATGTACATTGAACTAGATCTACCAGCTGCGATCTAAATGTTGTTCTGTTGCGTCTTTGTTGCACCCAAGCTTCAATGCACAGCATGCTCTCCCCAGGCCCCCTCAGAAAGGCAGATTAACAACACACGCATTGGCACACAAACACGCACGCATGCACACTCGTTTCAGAATGGGTAGATTCTAGTCTCTCATCTCTGTCTTTGAATTTACCTCTTCTCTCGGGCAATCATAGGCGTCCCTTTCAAAGACTTGACTCTCAGCCATCCAGCCTCTCATTTTGCAAGATTCACTCACTGAGCCGTCTGTCTTCTCCATCCATCGGGGTTGGTCATTCGTCGGCAAGCAGCGGGAAACACTCGTCAAGGTCCGCTGGTCCTTTTGCCACGCTCATAGCTCCCCGTGGAGATCTACATTCATAAGAAGGCCACATGACAAAACAAGAGGCAACCTCCCCCAAGTAGAACCTCCATGCGACAGACTCAATGAATCCAACCTGGGCGCGCTCGTTGAGGTACAGGCAGGCCCGTGCAATGAGGGCCCCGTAGGGTAGCAGCAGCCAGGCCACGGATAAACTCTGCACGGTTGCGCTGGCCACAGCGTTCCTCGGGCAATTTGACGAGGACGGGTATGGCTCGCTCGGGGGAATGTCGAGGTGCTTTGAACAACTCGTTCGGGTGGGCCGAGAAAAAAAAGCTTGCCAAACAGAAACTCAGTGCAAAAACTGGCAAAGCCAGGAACGGCTGACAGACTGGCTAAAGCACCATAGCGGTGACTGGTTTCATGTGGGGCAAGACCTTGCGAAGCCTCTTGGGTACCTTGGTTTTAGGCAAGTGCCTCAGGGACGCGCCGGTCCAAATGAAGGCAGTCCAACTCATTTGTCGATGCTGCTCACTTCCGATCGAGTGGATTGGCCAACAAGAAGTGGAAAAGTGGTGTTATTTTTACCACCACCCTGGCTTTCCCAAAAAGTTTTTAAAGTCCAGGAACTCAGGGACAGGTCTTGGACGGGAGTGGTTTGCACGATGGCTCACGCCGGGCGCCGGCGAATGCCTTTCACCCGAAAACCCGAAGCACGAGTGAGATGTATCATGATACCGCATGTGGGAACTTGTGGGTTGTGAAATCTGCTCCCCTGCTAAAAGTGACTAACTTTGAGTGGTTTAATTCGGAAAACCCACTAGTTGGCAAAAAGTTAAAGTCCTAACATCCAAGCAACATGCACTAAAGTGTATATAATGGCATCGATATACATACAAAAGATATAAAAGTACTAACTATGCATCCAGGAGCAACTTCACACACATCAGCAAATCAAATACATACAAAGCTGCCGGCAGGGTAATCCCAAAACCTCCGATCGCGGAACAAAACACAACTTGGACAAGCCGGAAAACATGTGAAGCCACAGGGAGTACGATCCCCGCACGACACCGAAGGCAGTCCCACTGTCCCTCTTCTCGCTGAAAACGTAGACTGGGCGCTTGGTGAGTCGATCGAATTCCTTGAATTCCTCCCGTCATAGTGATCAAGGTGGCAGATCAAGGTATGTGGTTCAAATGCAGGGGCCAGACTTGGCACCTACAATCCGTTGCTCAGCAGATGACTGAACATGGGAAGGCAAATTACGTGAGCCACGAGCACATAGTTTCGCCCTGTGGGAAAACAATACGTAGTGATCTCCTAACCCACTATACATTGGCAATCGGGGTCATTCCTTTTGCAACCCCACTGGAAAAAAAAAACAGCCACAACGCTGAACTGAGTCACTACTAAACTGCTAATTTGCAGTCTAACCGGTGGTGACTTGGTATCCGTCAGGGTTAGGCCCCCTCCTTTTGGTCTGCGCACTGCTGGTCACCAACTTGGCCACCCCAAACACATCAGCGCGGACTGCCAGAGGCTCCAGCCGACGCAGTCGGCAGGAAAGACGGAGCCGTCGGCGCTGAAAATCGCTGGCAAATACCACTCTTGGCGCCTCACCACCTGCAAGACGGACGTTGAGGGAACCCGTTCCAGGTTTGTTTCTCACTGCCGATTGAGTGGATTGGCCCAAAAAAGTAATCGAACTGTTGATTTGCCAAAATAGTGTTCCCAAAAAGTGACTACAGTTCAGGAACTCAGGAAGTGGGTACTTTGAAAGGAGAACAAAAGGGAACTGTCACTTTGGCCCCCCTACCCACTTGTCTGGCACATACCTGTGAGTTCTTTGGGGATTTGGCATTCGAAGTGTTTTGCGCTCTGCCGCTTTGAAACGGGACCAAGAGCCGCGCTTGTTTGCCAACCCAAGTGGAAGGACAGACCGTGGATTTGGGGATTCTCCAATGCAGAGTCTGTGGATTGAGGCTAAGGCCATCCAGAATGTCTTGGGGTGCCCCCAGGCACTTCCCTGGGCGCTGATGGCCTTTGTAATTCACAGAGAGGGTTACAACTTACAACTTCTTAATTGTGTAAAACCAACACGCCCGCGAACCAAACAAGCAAACCACCAGAAAAATCTGTCAAGCGCGCGAGGCGGCCCAGTTTGCCCCTCCCCCCCCTTCCTCCGCGCGCCCACGCTTCCAAACCAAAAGCATGGTCGGCCGGAACCTCCCCGACGACGCGCCGGGAGCTTCCGGAGCGCCTGAAAGGCCCGGCAGGTGGAGCGGTGCCAAAAGCCCAGCGAGGCCAAGAGCCCCAGCCAGGGGCACAGCATCAGCCTCGCCGGCGCGCCACACGCACGACGCAACCAACGCGACAAGCGCGAGAGGACGCACCTGGTTGTTGAAGTCGGGGGTCCAGAAACCTGGGGGAAAGTTGCTGGTGCGGAATGACCTCATATCCATTAAGTGCCCTGAACAAATTCAAAACACAATTCCAACGAGGATTGAGACAAATCGATTTGCTTGCGATCGGTGCGCTAAGTAGGGAATGAGAATTGGAATGACTCCGAAGCAAACCATCGAACTGGTGGCTTCCTTTAAGGGAATCCCCAAACGGTTCATTCCCACATTTCCTACTGCGCACCAGCAAGCTTACCCTCCCACCAGGTTTATGGATCCTTGCTACCTTCAGGGGAGGGGGTCCCCTAATTCCATGTCTCTAGTTGTCCCCCAAAAAGGGAAAATGGCATCATAAATGGAACTCAATTTTGCCGTGATTCGCAAAATCCCCTAGGTATCAAATCAGGCCTCTGGAAGAAGGGAGCCCCCACTAAAAGGGAAACCCCCTTTTAATAGTGAGTGGGGGGGGTGAAAGAACATATGCTAAGCAAACTGAAAAACATACATCTTCGGAGCCTGCCTCATTCTTAGCCTAATCTCAAAACCGATCGGCGTTAAACAATGGTGTACCCAAAACCATGTAAAGGGTTAAAATGGTGAGTTGCACCTTTGTTTAATCTTTGGGATTATCCCTTACCTCCATCTACCCGTTTTGATCGTGACCAACCTTGGCTTAAGCAACGAAATGGGTACCCCCAAAAAATAAAAATAAATAAATATATATGGTACCCCCCCCCCCATTGACTCTGATTTTTTTGGCTGCATGACTTTGAAAGCAATCTTGGAAGCAATCTTGGGTTGTCAGCCCAGGGGTGGAATAAGGGGAATAAGGATCCTTATTCCCCTTATTCCCCTCAAACCCAAGAACCCAAGAACCCAAGATGCACAGAGGACTTTTGGAAGCAATCTTGGGTTGTCAGCCCAGGGGTGGAATAAGGGGAATAAGGATCCTTATTCCCCTTATTCCCCTCAAACCCAAGAACCCAAGAACCCAAGATGCACAGAGGACTTTTGGGAGCAATCTTGGGTTGGCAGCCCAAGAAAAAAGGAAGGGACATGAGGATGCTTATTCCCGTTCTTACCTTCAAACCCAAGATTGCTTCCAAAAGTCCTCTGTGCATCTTGGGTTCTTGGGTTCTTGGGTTTGAGAGGAATAAGGGGAATAAGGATCCTTATTCCACTTATTCCCGTTTCTACCTTCAAACCCAAGATTGCTCCCAAAAGTCCTCTGTGCATCTTGGGTTCTTGGGTTCTTGGGTTTGAGGGGAATAAGGGAATAAGGATCCTTATTCCCCTTATTCCCTTCCTCCGCTCAGACTTGGCCTTTGCATCTTGCCAAGAGAGTCGAAATTCTGCTATATTCAGCTCTCAGGCAGCTCAAGTCCTTATTGTCTGTCTCCTCCTTCTTTCTGCCATGGCTTCCTTTGACGTGGTTGGCAAGGTCAGGTTCTCCAATGGCGCAGCCGAGCTGCGAATCCAACCAGCGTCTAGCCCTGCTTCATCCCAAGCTTACAAAGTCGACAAGGAGAAGCCTCGGGTCACTCTAGATGAAGTTCTTGAACAACACGAACGCGGAGCAATCAAAATTCATGACAGCCGGCTTCCATTGCATCAACGCGCCTTGCGTTCCATGATGTGCAACACACAGAAAACTCTGAACATCGAGCCCTTGGGCCACATGGGCAGGTGGACAGAGGAGTGTCACGAGAAGCTTCTACGTGACCTGCAAGCACCTAAGGGCCATGTTCGGGGACGCAAGCGTCGTGACCAGCTGGCCATCCTGGACGCAAACACCCAGGACCCGCTGCCATCCAAGACGCCCCAGTCCAGCAAGAGCAGCAGTTGGCCGAGGACCACCAGGGGACCTCCGAAAAGGATGAGGGCATGTCCGAGGACCACCATGGGATCTCCGAAAAGGATGAGGGTGTGTTTGAGGACCAGCAGGGTGTCTCCAAAAAGGATGAGGGTGTTTCCGAGGACAACCATGGGATCTCCGAAAAGTATGAGGACGTGTCTGAGGACCAGCAGGGTGTTTCGATGAGGGTGTTTCCGAGGACCACCATGGGATCTCCGAAAAGGATGAGGACGTGTCTGAGGACCAGCAGGTGATCTCCGAAAAGGATGCGGGCCTCTCCAGTCAAGAGCCACCCCACCAAGACCAAGACATGCCTGAGAATAATCAAGGTCACTCTGAGGACTCAGGCGACGACTCCTCCTCTTCAAGCTCGTCGTCTTCAGATTCATCTACGCCCACACGAGCTCACAATGAGAGTGTCTCCGCGCAACTCGAGCTCAAGGAGCTTGAGTTGCAAGAGGCTCACGCTCGCATTGAGATCTTGGAGGGTGACATTCAACAATATGAGTGCGAACTTGAAGAGCTTAGGGCACATTTGGCTGAGGAGCGTGCCTCAAAGAGGGCCAGGAAGTAGAAGCCTGTATAGCTGTCAAGCTGTATTCAGAATCTTCTGTAAGTAACATAGCCATCATTGGCAGACGGTACTATACATGTGCACATACTCTTGTCCGGATCTGCTCCTGTGAGAGGTGACAAAAAAGATGTCTGCTTTTGGTTGCCTTTTGATGTGGTAGCTTGCAGCAGGACATCATGGCTTGCACGAATGCATGACATTCCTGAGTTTGATATGTGAACCTGTTGCTTTCCAGCTTAGAGTTCCCAAGTAGTTGCCCCTAAGGCACACCATCTTCTTATTCCATGTCCAGCATGTTAGACGATGCCATGGCCCTACACTCCGGCAAAGAGTGGGTGTATGAGACCCACACCACCCCCAAAATGGCTTGGCACTCTCGTGGGGAAATTTCAGAACCCATCCTCTTGTCAGACTTCTTGGACAACTCATGTCGCAACTTGAACGAAGCGAAAGTGACCTCCATAGCCTTCGATGTCCACAAGAATGTGCCAGAATTTAGCGGTCTTGCTCAGATTGGGGAGCTTCTGTCACAAGGCAACATCGCAGATGTACCCTTTCCACTACGTCTTCAAGGGCCTCTTCCTCCCAAGGCAACCATGGGCGTCATCATCGAAAACCACCATGATGGAACAATGTCTCTGATCAAAATTCTGCACTTCGCCAACAAGATCACTGCTGCTGCCGCCCAGCGCCTGATCACAGGAGAGGGCTTCGTGCCTGTGTCACGCCCTGGGCCATGGGCGCATCGCAAAGCTGTCCAGTCCTTACTGGATCGTCTTCCCGGCTTTCGCGTGATGTGGGCGAGCCTGACAAAAAAGGCTCCTCTCCAAAGGGCTCAGTCTTCTCAGTGGGCACCTGATGACGAGGCGCTTAAGGAGGGCATCTTGTTCATCAATGCCAATGCACCAGAATGTGACTCGCAGAATGAACAGACCTATTGGATCCTATGTTCCATCAAGGAGGGCTCTGGCACACCAGTTTCTGGGTGGCCAGAAGCAAAGGTCAGATTCATGGCTCAAAACAAAAGCCGTGGCCTGGCCGGAGCGCAGCCTGAGACTGACTTCCCCCTCACCATGTTCAGCTTGAAGCCCTTCATGTCTGATGTTCTGTTGCCAATGGTTATGCCGATGTTGCTGACTTATGGCATCATGATGGTGGGCTTACCAGGCGTCGGCAAGACACCCTGTTTGATCACCCTTGCCATGGCAATTGGACGTTACCACGTCCGGCGTCTCTCTTTGACAGCCTCGCCGGGCTGGCGTCGAGCCAAATCTCTCGACAACTTCAGGCATCGAGTCCCCCACATACAAGAGGCCGTCTTTCTCGATGATCCTTCCAGGGACAAGATCGATCTAGCCGACATGAAATCGTTCCTTACTGCGGATGAAGACCAGACTTGCTCAGGCAGGTACAATGATGTCAGGCTGGTCAGAAATGGCATGAGGGCATATGCTTCCAACGACATCGGTGAGGGGGATGAGCCTGAGGACACCTACCGCAGTGACATCGAGCCCGACGAGTTCTTCAAGTTGCTCCGCAAAACATTTCCAGAGTCCAAGCAAGCAGACGTGCTGGCAGTGCTTAAGCGGACAATTGTCATGGTCTTCGGGCAGAATGGTCTCTACTTGCGCTTCCCGTCCCCCAACTATGGTGCCCTTGTCCATCGCATTGTGGCAGACGATGTTCACAAAGATCTCCTTGCCACCAAGGACAAGCCTGTGTATGCTGCGTACAAGCTGGGTGATATGGTGAAGGGAAGCTACTATGAGAGCGAGGTGGAGAAGGAGCAGAAGATCATCGATGAAGGCATGATGAAGCTACAGCAGGCAGGCCGAGCACAAGACTATGTGGAGAGATGCAACAAAGATCTCAAAGAAGCTCTCAAGCAGGTGGCACGCATCCCAGAGAGCTCCTTTGTGCCAACTTCTCAGTCTTCAGAGGACCCGCCTCTCCTGCCGCCGGTGCCTCTCAACATCGGCTGCAACGCGCCAAAGCGCTTGCGAGAGGGCGACTTCATCTACCCAGACTCCAAGCCGGACAAGCGCCTCCGGCACAAAACGAGCTTGCTCATCTCTTGCGGGGGAGGAGCAGCCTCATCTGTTGCCTCTGGTGATCCACAACCGCAAAATGCCGACCAATGTGCAGAGCCTGAAGAGCTTCTGGCTGCAGCAGAAACAGCCGACATGGAGGACACTGCTGCAGACGAGGATGCAAGCCACTTTCTCCACGACTAGAGCGTGAACCTGCTTGAGTTCTGAGTGTTGGGCTATGCTGCGAGAATCTATACTCTTGCTTGGTGAGTAGTGGTTACTACTGCCATAAAATTCAAATTCAAAGATGAAAGCTGTGTGCCCGCGGAAAAAAATAAGCTCGCTGCAAGACTGCAATTGCAAGTGCAACCTTGATTGATTTCCGACTTGCCTTGCACTGTGTTGCCATTGAATCACCTAGGGCTCGTAGTTACTGCGATTGTGACATGGCAGCTCGACTCAACCCCGGGGTTGTGAGCAAGCGGGGGAAGCTCCGTCGTGTCCACAAGAGGCCAGCCACGAAGAAGAGCAAGGAGTATAACAAAGTGAAGTACGTGCGAGGTCACCGAGATGTACCAGCAGCTGGTGTTCGCATGGATCGAGCTAAGTGGAAGCGCAACCTCGCTGAGATCCTGGGTGCTAGCAACAGTGGGATTACCAAGATTTTGGAAAAGGACGGCATCCTTCCAAAATGGCACGGTAAGCGTTGCCCCCAATGCTGGAAAGGCACTCTTGCATCCAAGATGCATTGCGGCAGTGCAAAGTACCAATGCAACAACTATCATTGCAAACGTATTGTCAGCCCGCTGCACTTGCATCCCTTCTTCACTACTGGCCGTGGCCCTGGCTCTACTCCTTTGCAGATGCAGGCGGCAGTTCTCTTCATGATCCTCATTGGTGCTTCCCACACCCAGATCAGGTTGGCCTTGGGTGTGAATCACAAGCTCATTGAAAAAATGAGATCCAGCCTAGCGCATACCAGGCAGCTCTTTGTCGAGCAGGAGGAGAAGAAGATCTCCTTTGATGGCAAGAAGCAGTGGCAGGATGTGGAAGCTGATGAGTGCGCCTTTGACAAAGTAGATATGACCAAGGACATCGCGTACAAGGAGGCGGTCAAGGCAGGCAAGCCCATCCTGTGGGAGCAATGGAGTGGCATGATGGCCCGCGGCAAGCCATCTACACTCATCATGTCACGCCTTAGCCCAGCCTTGACGGTGCGGAGAGCTCCGGGGCCGGGGGCAATCCGCAAAATTGACTGGGCCCCGTTAGCCAAGAAGCACTTGCAGGGCCGCCATGTCATCCTGCATACGGACTCGGCAAAGCCTACAAGGCCAAGGTGGATGGCGTGCACCATGACTCAGTTGTCCACTGCAAGAAGCTGATCACACTCAAGAATGGGAAAAGAAATGGAGCTCCCCGCAATACGTGCGAGTGGTGACTCACAGGCTCCGGGATGGAACCCAGCTGAAGGTAAAAGCAGGCACCCAACACGTGGACAGGGCTTGGCGGTTTATTAAGGACCGGTTAAAATTGAACCAAAGGGTTCGAGCTGGGTCCAAAGCAATCAGGAGCCGCATTCGTTCAGCCCAGTATGAGTACTGGATGCGGGGCCAAGATCTCTGGATCAAAACTGGAGATCTGGTGAAGGATGCAATGGCTCCTTTTGTACAGAAATAGGGAGAGTTTTCTGCAGCAGAAAACAAAAAAAGCGCGAAGTGCGTCTCACTGCCTGCTTTCCAAGTAAAGTTCCACTGAATGAAGCTCTCACTGCACCAAAAAAACACACACATAAATCTTCTGCTGTCACCTGTCAATCAAACACAAGCAAATCATCTGCTACCATCTGTCAGTCAAGCACTCACTGCACCAAGAAAAACAGAGTCGTTGAGGGGGGGGGGTAGCATATATATATATATGGATTCTGCCTCATTCTTAGCCGAAATGTCAATTCGCTTGTATGGAACATTGCTTTGGAGGAGACCCCAGGTTGGCCCTTCAGAAGCCCAATGGCCCTGATGTCTGGGTTTGGGTTTGCTCTTTTGTCAGGAGGAGTGGAAGGACTAAATCCACACCAGTTGCGGATGGATAAAACCCGAACTCGAATACTCGGCCAAAGTGATTTTGTCCATGCACAGTATGACCGCCGGACCGCGTCTCCAGACAATGAAAATTACAAAATGAGTCGTTTCGAACCCAACCCCCAAAAAGGATACCCTCAAACAAAACAAGACCCACTTGCCGCCTTCTGACCTTGTTGAGTATCAACTGCAGGGAAAGGAGCCAAGTTTCCGTGGCTACCTGTAGCATTTCGTGAACCCAGGCGTTTGCTCAAAAAAAGGCGGGACTTGTTTTTCACGGGCTTCAAGAAGTCCAACCCTCGGTGAAAAAGTGGGGATGCCTTCCTACTATGAGAGGCTTCCAGTACAATCATATAGCAGCTAACATGCAAGAGTGTCATGGTATGGGATGTTCTTGGGTTGGTTGATTGGCATCTTAGCCAAGCTTGCTCTTGGCCTGCCTCAGCTCCTGCGCCCAACCAAAACGCATCGTTGGTTCTAGCCAGTGCTGAGTGACCTTGAACATGTCAAGTAGGCTGAAAAACCCCCCGCACGAACACCACATTGCAGTCACAGCCTTCCTGAAAGCAAAACCCAACAAAATGGAGCCTCGGGGTCCTTCCAAAGGCCGTTCTATTCAAGCCAACCCAGCTCAAAGGTCCTGTCAAGAGCAAAAGGCAGAGCAACCCAAACGCAATTCTTAACTGGGTTACATGGACATCCCCACTAAACACTAAAAAGCTAAAAACCCAACGATGGCTGGGGACCACGAGGAAAGGGCAGATCCCTGCGTGCCCGCGACTTTTTCCCAAGGAGTTTCTTTGGCCACGTTCGCGCCTGCCCGGTGTTTCGAGGACTGCCAGCGTCTGCCTACAGGGGATGTCGGAACGGGGCTTTGCAACTGATGTAACCTCCGCGCTTGCAAAGGGCACTCCCAGGCAGGGAGGGAAGACCTGAGGTCGTCTCAACCCCCTGCCTTCTTGTCGGACTCGGTGGTTGGGTGGGCATGGGAAAAGTGAGCTTTTGTGGGACTCCACCCAGCTCAAGGTAAACGGGACCTTGCGTGCCGGCGACTTTAAGCAAAGCCAGTACTGCGAGAAGGACGGCCACCACAAATCGAACATATATCTAGCCCTTGCTCCCCACGAGAGACATCTGTATATTTAGGTGGGTGTCCAACAACAACAACGACAGCGACAGCGACAACAACCACAACGACGACGATAACCACGACCACGACCACGACCACGACCACCACAACAACAACAAC